ACAGCTAAGGCAATAAAATTCATTGACTAGTTAATCAATTAATATGTGACAGAATGTTATGTGTTTGCTCATTTTGTGCGGGGGAGGGGTGGAAGGCCGATGAAAGGAGGACCAGGACAGAGGGAAGGCAGGAGAAACTGTAGCTGCCCTGTCTTTTGAGGCCTAAGGGGATTGAGGGCTAAGGCATTCAAGGTTGCAGCCCGCAAGCCTGTTAGTTGGCTAGGCATCTGAACCAATCTTGGGGAGGAGAGCATTTTCATTCACAAGGTTCAGTGATACGAGTAAACTTAGTTTCTATTGCAATTCAAGTTAATTCAGGAGACTGGCATGGATTTAGACGCTGCATGAAGAAAAAGGTGTAGCATCCTTGGTGGCTGAGGTGCAGCCCTTGATGACTGTGTTTAAAGGCCTCACACAGAATGGGCTCAATTTCTGACCTAAAATTATTCAGATGGCTTGTTGAATGTTCAGAGGGAGAGAGATTACCTGCCCAGAGGGAATAGTGTGTAGCCAGTCCAGAGTGTTTATATCCAGCTATTGGATCTTTGGATGAAGGATAGTATACTACTACTACGGCTACTACTAATCATCATTGTCGTCGTCGTCATCATCATCATCATCATCATCATCATCATATTTCTCTTAATCTGCACTATGCCTTATATTGATTATCTGTCTTGGAGATAAATATGGATAAATTATATGACGGGTAGGCAACATGGTCCCTTCCAGATATTGTTGGACTACAGCTCCCATCATCCCTGGCAATGGACCATACTAGCTGGGGCTGATGGGTCTTGTAGTCCAACGACAGCTGGAAAGCACCACATTAGCTACCCTGCTTTAAGCTTTCTCTCTCGCCCCACCAGCACTTTCAATTATGCTGTGATGTCTTGCTGCCTCCCTCCCACTGTCAGCCTGCTTGCCCCTGAGCTGAGGATAAGAAGAGTAAACAAATGAGTCATCTGTCTTTGTCTTAGAGCAGCTTCACACTTTCAATTCCCCCCCCCCCCAGGGTGTATCTTAGTCTAGGAATAAAAATACTCAGAACACCACTAATCATAGCTTTCTAACAATGGCTCTAGGATTGATGGGGAGGGATCCTCACGAGAAGATCATGAGACTTGGTGGACTTACCCTGTGGTGGGTTGCAGGCTCTAGTGAACAGCAGAAGGATGTTCCATTGAGTAGTTTCCCACAATGCCCTGGAGCATTCCTGATTTAGTGTTGCTCCAGGGCATTGTTAAAATTTTAAATGGTGGCTCCAAGCCATGTGAAGCTCATTGGCCCATGAGAAAAGAGGTCTTCAGGCTAGGGTAGGGTAGTAGCCCCCCCCCCTATCACAACTGCCCAGCCAGGTACTAGTGCCAAGGCAGGCCGGGTAGAGTGGGAAAGAGTACAAACAGGCAGTAGGCTGTGATTCTCCTCTCTCACCAGCCCTTGGTAGAGCATAATTATTGGGTGCCTGATTCTCAAGGTCCTTCAAGGCTATCAGTAGCTACTAGCTACAATGGCTATGTTGTACCTCCACTGTCAGAGGCATTAGTATATCTGAATACCAGTCGCTGGGAATCACAGGTGGGCAGGATGCTGTTGCACTTGTGTCCTGTTTTTGGGCTTCCCACGGGCATCTGGTTGGCCACTGTGTGAACAGGACACTGGACCAGATGGACACTGGACCAGCAGGTTCATCTTACATTCCCATGTCCTGGTTTGAGCCCTGCAGCTCATAATTCTCCCCGTTCTTTGAAAGCGGATGAATCTTTGCATTACTGAATCCTTAATAAATGTATAGCCACAACAAAAGACGTCACTGCAAGGAAGCATTCTTCTGAGTGCTGTACAACAAAAAATACCTGTTAAAAGTCTGCCTGCCCTTGACCTCTTATTGATTTGGTTGGCAATAAGAGGCCAGCATCAATAGCAAAGAAAGAAAGAAAGCTTCAAGAAAGCACTTTTGACTGCCTGTCCTCCTCTGAGAATAGCCGAGGTGTCCACACATTTTATTTCACTTGCCAAGGTCACAGCCAATGAGGAAGCCAAGACAATTAATCCTAGAGTGAGACAGACATCAGCAGCAAGAGTACATACTGTGTTCATTTTCGAAGGCTTTTTGAAACTCTCGGCCTCCTGCTGCGTCTCAGCAGCAAAGGTCAGCCTGAGTTCTGCTCTTCCGTAGAAATGAGTTTGACTGCAGGAGCAGAAAGAACTTCATTTTCTATATATAACTACGAGAGTTAAGATGTTTCAGACAAAGTACACTGAAAATACATTTGGTATTAGGATATACGTGTATTGTTCTTCAATGCTTGAGCGGAATGGAAACCTTGTAAAGTATGTCTGCTTGCATCCAAATTCTTCAGCCTTGGTGATTCTGTGCGACTGACCACTGTGCCTGCAGATCATGCCTATGATAATAGCCAAGATTATGATAGCTAGGGATGGGACCTCCAACGTAATCTGGGAATTTATGTTGAAAAATTTGGAGGTTATGGAGGCGGGCCAAGAATTTTACAACGGTATAAAGGCAATATATACTGAACAGAAGGCAAGATTGATAGTTAATAACGTCATTACTGAGGATATAAAAATATCTAAAGGGACAAGGCAGGGCTGCCCGCTTTCGCCATTATTATTTATTGTGGTTCTGGAAGTCCTATTAAATGCAATCAGACAAAATAAGCAAATTAAAGGGATAACATTAGGTTTAAATGAGTATAAAGTCAAAGCATTTGCAGACGATGTGGCTTTGACTGTGGAAGATCCTATAGAAAGTACAAAGGAGATTTTGAATGAGATGGAACAATTTGGGAAGATAGCAGGATTCAGATTAAATAAGAGAAAGACCAAAATGATTGTTAAAAATATGGACCGAGATCGGATTGAGTTATTACAACAACGAACGGAGATTGAGGTGGTAAAAAAGGTGAAATATTTAGGAATTTGGCTTTCTGATAAGAATATTGACTTATACCAAAACAATTACATCCCAGTTTGGAAAGGTATAAAGAAAGACATGGAGGTCTGGGCCAGAATGAAATTATCATTCTGGGGAAGAATATCTATGGTAAAAATGTTGGTGCTCCCTAAGCTGTTATTTCTATTCCAAACTATACCCATTATAAAAGGTACAAAATTTTTTAAAGAATGGCAAAAGGTGATATCAAAATATGTCTGGGAAGGGAAGAAGCCCAGAATTAAATTTAAGCTATTGACAGACGCTAAGGAAAGAGGTGGCTTCGCCCTGCCAGACATGAGACTGTATTATGAGGCAGCATGTCTGTGCTGGTTAAAAGAATGGGTAAAGTTGGAAAATAAGGAACTATTAGACTTGGAAGGGTTTAATAACAGATACGAGTGGCACGCGTATCTCTGGTGCGATAAAAAGAGGGTGCATAAGGGATTTAGTAATCATATTTTTAGAGGTTCACTAATAGAGGTTTGGGATAGATACAAAAATATATTAGAACCAAAAATCCCGCACTGGTTATCCCCGTTAGAGATAATATGTGTTAAGAAAACTAATATGAGTGGAAAGTGGGGGAAATATGGAGAAATGGTTTTCAGTGAAGGAGGGAAGTGGAAAGTAAAACCATATGACCAAGTCAAAGTGTTTACATATGATTGGTTGAATTATTTTCAGATAAATGAAATGTTTAAAAAAGAGTTGAAGGAAAGGGGTTATGAGGGAAAAGAATCAACTTTTCAAAAAGAGATAATAAATAATGAACACAAAAATCTGTCAAAAATGTACAAAATATTGTTGGAGTGGTATACGAAGGATGAGGAAGTGAAATCGGTGATGGTTCAGTGGGCAAGGGATTTTGGATACAATGTTCAATTTGAGGACTGGGAAAGACTATGGAGAGAGAACTTAAAATTTACGGCATGTATGTTATTGAAGGAAAACACGATGAAAATGTTCTATAGATGGTATATGACTCCCGTAAAATTGGCAAAGATGTATAAGATCGATAACAAATGCTGGAAATGTAAACATAAAGAAGGGACATTTTATCATCTATGGTGGGAGTGTAAAAAAGTTAAAAGCTTCTGGGAAGAGATCTACAATGAAATGAAAAAGATGTTAAGATATACTTTTGTGAAAAAACCAGAAGCTTTTCTATTAGGGATTGTAGGAAGGGACATTAGAAGGAAAGACTGCAAACTTTTTCAGTATGCCGTAACGGCAGCCAGGATCGTGTTGGCCCAGAAGTGGAAGCAGGAGGAAATCCCAACGGTAGAAGAGTGGAGAGTAAAACTGACAGATTATGTAGAATTGGATAAATTAACAGGGAAAATTAGATACACCAAAGATCAAAAATTTATTAAGGACTGGGAGAAATTCGTGGGTTATCTGGAAAATAACTGTGGGGTAAACACAACGCTAGTGGGGTTTAAAGAGGCACTGTAAAGAACTAATATGTATTGTTTATTAGAAATATTGAAGTCAGGAAGGGAAAATGGCAATATGAAAGAATGGAATGTGCACTAAAGATATGACTACGAATGAATATCAGTGACGTTGAAGGAAGTCTAAGATGGATATGATTTGCTGTAGTATGGATAGTATGTACAATTTGTTTTTCCTTTGTTTGTCCTTTGTTCCTTTTTTCTTTTGTTTCTTTGAAAATAAAAATCAATGGAAAAAAAAAAGGGATGGGACCTCCAGATTCTGAGGCATCAGGGGTTGGCTGCCTTCTTCATTACTATTTTGTGAGCATCCAGCTGGTCACTGTTGGAATGTTGGACAGGATGACTTTTAATCTTACCCAGGAAGGCAATTCTTATATGCAGGATGTTTTAGCCCAGGGTTGGTCCCTTGCCAGACCACAGTACTAACAAAGACCAGCAAAGGCTCTGCAGCCTTGTGTGTTGCTGTGTTGTTAATACATCAGAGGAATTTGTGTATAGAAGTAGGTTTTGGATTTCTGCCCAAGATGGCAGCAAATGTTTGCAAACTGTACTGAGTTATCCACTTTTGTTCTTTCTTTACGCAGTTGGAATTATCCAGCACGGCCATCCTTCATCAGATCCGGAGGGATCAAGTCACGGATACATGCCGAGCCAACAGCATGTCTAGCAGGAAACGCCGTGTGCTGACACCCAACGACCTCAAGCATTTGGTGGTTGACGAGGATCATGAGTTGATCTACTGCTACGTCCCCAAAGTGGCCTGCACCAATTGGAAGAGAGTCATGATGGTTTTGAACGGGAGGGGCAAATACAGCGACCCGATGGAGATACCAGCTAACGAAGCCCATGTCTCGTCAAACTTGAAGACACTCAACCAATACAGCATCCCAGAGATCAACCACCGCTTGAAAAACTACATGAAGTTCCTGTTTGTCCGCGAGCCTTTCGAGAGACTGGTGTCAGCCTACAGAAACAAATTCACCCAGAAGTACAACACCTCCTTTCATAAGAGATATGGAACCAAAATTGTCAAGCGCCAAAGGAAAAATGCGACCCAGGAAGCCCTACATAAAGGCGATGATGTGAAATTTGAGGAGTTTGTGGCTTATCTCATAGACCCTCACACCCAAAGAGAAGAGCCGTTCAATGAACACTGGCAGACTGTATACTCTCTGTGCCATCCCTGCCACATCCATTATGATCTCATAGGGAAATACGAGACACTCGAAGAGGATTCCAACTACATTCTTCAACTTGCAGGAGTAGGAAACTATCTCAAGTTCCCCACCTATGCAAAGTCTACAAGAACTACTGACGAAATGACTACAGAGTTCTTCCAGAACATCAGTTCAGAGCACCAAACACAGCTGTATGAAGTCTACAAACTTGATTTTTTAATGTTCAATTACTCAATGCCAAGCTACCTGAAATTGGAATGAGGTGGAGAGCCAGAGAAAAGGGAGAAAAAGAGGGGGAAAGAATATGAAACCTGTTTTATTTAAGATTTTTATTTGTCACAATTACATATGAAGAATGGGTTATTTTGTAAGTTAATATTTTCTTCTTTTTTTGAATGATGCTGCGAGCAGCATAGTTGGAAATCTATTATTTAAATTGTCGGTAAGAAGGGACAGCTCTGTTTGCAGGGTAAGAAAACTGCGGCGGCTGTAGCTCTAGATGTGACTAGTAACTGCGACACTGTTTGGTGCGGGGCGCGTGGGGGGGTATTATTTGTGTCCTGATGAATTCTTTTCCTTTTGCATTCTTCATAAATCTCAGCCTTTTATGTTATTTATGCTTATTTAAGAACACAATAGATTCCTTGTTAGGAGCCAAGATGCAACACTGTGTGGACAAAGAAAATGTTTCCTGTGCATTCCTTGCAGGAGTTTGTCTCTCTGTCCCTAATGTCATTACTGAATGTTCCACTAGTGAAGAATGTGTGCAAATAATTGGAAACATTGGAACAGGAATGGGTTTAAGGGGCTCAGGGGGACCCTCCCTTGAAATATATATGTCAAAACCTTGTGGTTCTCTGATCTGTAAGACACACTTTTCTGCCAATGATCACACACAGATGAAGGCCCAACGTTTGTCCACAGGGACGCAAGGTCGGTGAGGCTTTCACCTTCGAGAATGTATTAAAACATCACACATGTGCACTTCCAAAATGAAGGGGAAGGGGAAGGAGGAAAAATAGACTGCCTTACTCAGTCTCTCCACCCTTAAAAGGGCCAGTCCAATATTAAGCCAGACACTTCAACCACCTCCCAACCTCCCATTAAAGAAAACTGCAATGAAATGAGCGATGTACACAATGAGTCTGATGGGAAAACCAAGTCCTTCGGAGATGGTATGACAGCTGATTGGCAACCACAACGTCTAATTTGACCCCCACAGTGCTCAGATTTTGTTCTTTCTGCAGGTACCCCCTTGCATGTACAATACTCCTTGTGACACCATTGTCCTTTCTCATCTCCCTGTATCTTGGGCCCAGTGTCCTCCCTGGGTTCCTGCAAAGTTGGCTCAACCCAGCCTTCAGAGAAGGCACCAGCAAAATGATTGGGAAGGAGTGTGAATATGCTGCATACACCCTACCCCTAATGCCACGTTCCACCCATGACATGTGCTCCAAAACAAAGAACATCCTGCAACTGAAGACATGATTGTTGGTTTCCCAGAAGGCAGAGGCAAGGATAGATGTTGGGTGACTCCCATCAGCCCCTGCCAGAATGGCCAGTGGTCAGAGGTAATGGGAGTTGCAGTAGAACAACATCTAGAGGACTGCAGGTTTCTTATTCCTACTGTATCCTAATGAGTGAACCAGCACCACGTTCTGAACTATTGCAACATTTTTAGGTTCCCATTGCAAATATGAAATGACAGCAGGGACTCTCCTTTAGGGTGGATCCCTGTGCTCTAGAATACCTGCACAAAACCGAATACCCTACAAAGGAGCAATTTTATCAGAATATCATATATGATGCCGTGTGTGATAGCATCGGCCTTGAAAGGGACAGCTAGAGTTGCTTAAATATATATGTGTATACATGCATAATATTTAGTCTGTGACTGAAAGAAATGTGAATGTATCTTGTACAGAGCAAAATTTTCAAATCTCTACTTTGCCAGACATGATGTTAATATCATTTTTTACTTCATACTTGGCATTCCCTTGTTTGACATCAAGATGGATAAGAGGTGATTCATCTGCATTGCCATGATAAATACTATCGGTAATAATATTATTTAAGGCTGCAGTGGCTAGTCAGCTGAATGGTTAGATGGACCAAACAATTTTAAATTGGTTAATTAAAAATATGTCCCCAGTTAATTGGGCTGCAGCTTTTAAAAACAATGTAGATTTTTATAAAAGTACTTAGACAGACCGTAGGTAGCAAGCACTGTCTTAGAAGAAGCATTTCTACAATCTCATATAGAAGCCTTCTAAGGTCGAGCCTGTGTGGTGGGTGCTTGTTATCACCTAAAGCAATTAAAGAATGTGTTTTTTCCTTGAGAACAATTTGAGAATTTTTCTTGAGAACAGATTGGGGGAAAAAATTAATTAATGTGTTTTTTCAGATCCCGTGATTTATGAAGATTAACTTAATTGGCTGACAGTCCTAATATTACTGTAACATGTAGCCCAACATGTTGAAAATGATTAGTGGATTTTGAGTTTCCAGCTTGTTTTCCGGAAAAAAATAAAGAGTAGAATCATAAAATCATAGAATTGTAGAGTTGGACACCGAGGGTCATTTAGTCAAAGCCCTAAATAGCCCTAGTTAAAGAACAGCGTTTCAAGTGCTCAGTTCTCTTCACATCTGTTATCTCAGTCAGTGCCGTGTGGTGAAATTTTTCCTAGGGGAAGAGTTAGGGCCAGAGGCACCAGCTTGCAAGGGCCATTGGGGAGGGCAGTCGACACATACACAAACATCATGCTCCCCCTCCCCAGGCCAGTAAAAGGGTTCCTGGGCTTTGGGAAGGTCTAATGTGCCAGGAACATTGAGGGGACTAGCTTAGTCCCCTGACCGCACACCACTGATCTCAGTAATTGTACAGCACTGTAAGAGAGGCTGTTACTTCAAGAGCCAACTTGTGGCACATTTGGTAAGCAGAGCCTGATCCAAAGACCTATTTTGTAGTGGCTGAGAGGTGTAGCACATGCTGGCACTTCAACTTAGCACCACGTCACCGAGGAGGATACCAGATATCACATGATTTGAGCGGGGCAGCCCATCATATGCCGAGTCTGGATGAAAGGGATGAGGGGCCTAAAGGCGAAGGAAATCATAATTGGGAAATTCTAATGCCCTCAAGCAAATGATCTAAAATTCAAGAAACGTGTGCAATTCAAGTATCACTGGAGAAAGACACTGTTCTGGTGATACTACTGTCACAGGGAATGTTTCCAAAGGCGTGATATGAAACTGCAGCTACAGAAGTCACAGGAGGCGGCTCCATTTCATTCGGTGAAGCTGGTTCACAGGTGCTGACTGGCACCTTGACTGAGTCGCAGCAAAGAAGCTTGAGAAGAGAGCTGGAGAGTCTCTTTCAGTGCTGCACCCTGTCTCTGTCAGCTGACTTTGGCCTACTTCAGATTTTGCCACCCTCTGTTCCTCAGCGTATTGCTTGACAGTGTCTGTGAGAGGACTGATACCAGTAAACCCTTGCAAACTCAGGTTGTGTATAAACTATTCAGTTAAAGCACATTCGACACACATTCTTTCCCTCAAATAACTCTGGGCACTGCAGTTTACCCCTCGCAGAGTTACAATTCCCAGCATCCCTTAATGAACTACGGTGCCCAGAATGCTTTGCGGGAGAGAACGTGCTTTACATGCATAGTATGTGCAGAGGCACAATCAGCAGAATGGGGCAGCAGCGTCCTGGTGTTAAGGGTAGATTGTGCCATGCCTGTGCCAGGCTGCAGGGAGTTGGGGATTTGGGAGTGCTCCCTTATGTAAGCAGACAAACAAACTCACTCCTCTTTTCTGAATTATGCAGAAAACTTTACACAGCCAGATCAGAGATTCACCAGTCCTTTTCCTGATTTTTATAGTTGCAGGCAGTAGGAATGGACAAATCCATCAATTTCCATTTCCCATTTTTCCTATCTTCCATTTGGTTCATCCTATTTTGACATATGTTTGTGAATTGTTGAATGAAAAAGCCTGCATGAAAATTCACAAAGTGTTCAAGTGCATTCTTCCTGATATATACATTTTTTTTGAATGCAGTTTTACTAGTATGTGCATTTTTTTTGGTAAGTGGTTTCCATCAGATGGAACACATTTTTGTATGTTATTTTCACTCATATGCATATTTTTGCATGGACTTTCCATAAGTTTTAGAGTCTTTTTCATATGCATTCTTTTGGATGGAGAATTGCCTCAAAATTGGAGAAGTATGAATTTCAAAGGAGAACTTAGGTTTGCTTTATGTGTCATTTTGGATGGTGCAGATTTGGGAGGTTTGCATTAAAGTGTGAACCAAATGAATTTCTCCCCTTGCTCCTTGCAGGCAGTTAAAAACAAACCTATATAAACAGAAATTCAAAAATGAACTGGAGTGGAACACTCTCTTATCCAGTAGAAATTGTTCTGTGTGAGATGGCAAATTGTTATTTTTTTAAAAAAATTAATTTTCAGACTTTGAAATTTACAAGCAATTGTTAAACAACCAAAACAAAAAGAGAATTCCATAAATTCCCATGGACTTCCCTCCTTCCCTTTGTGGGTCCTTACATTAACTTTTTTCTTCCTGCATCCTCTCTATTAATCCAGTTCCATTACAACCATAGTCCAATGTTAAACTACAAGTGTCTTTCCAGTCCTACTAATAATTTTAATTGTTTACAATGATTTTTAAAGTAAATTATATATTTTCACCATTCCTTACTGAAACTCTCATCAATTCAGTGAGATGGCAGGTTGTGATACGATGAGTAGCATATTGCCTGGAAATTGTTTTAAACAGGCAATTATAGTTTATTCATTACAAATTAGCAGGGAGTAAGGCATGTATTCTGCCAGTGAACAGCACTGCAAAGTTTGCTTATGGTTAGTTTCTTTTTACTTATGGGATGCCCAACTGAGTCGGCAACAAGTGAACTATTTATGATGCAGTGCACTGTTTTTTATCTGTGGCGCTGTTTTGACAGAGATCAGGAAAATACACTATGGGAAGAATAAATTGAATTCTTTTCTTTACAGTTCTCATCTGTCTTGTTTGCCGTGAGCGGAAAAGAGAATAGGATTCCATTTTTGAGCAAGGAGGTGATGATCAAACGCTTTTCGCTTGTCAGTATTGCACTCTAGACTGTCACTACAGGGGGAGAAAAAATTAGATGGTTCAAATAAAAGGTTGGCTTTTGTTGTTCTCTAAACAAAGCTCTGTTATTTTGGGATTGGCAAAGTGTCCCCTTCAAAACAGACTTGTTTATAACTGTAACTTGCCTGAACCAGATCTTCCCAGATCTTAAAGGTTAGGGAGGAATTGACCCCCTAGGATGCTGAAGTGTGTGTGTGTGTGTGTGTGTGTGTGAGAGAGAGAGAGAGAGAGAGAGAGAGAGAGAATTAAGAAATCTCATGGCTGGGGTCAATTGCAGAGGTCTTTCCCATTTCAAATTTAAAAGCATGGTTGAGTGGCTTTTTAGACCTTCACCCCTACTGTTTGGTTTTAGTCTCATGATGTTGTTTTAGCTTGCTTTGTTTTTTTAAATGTACACCACCCAGAAAACCTATTGTTAATGGCCAATACAATAAAAGAAGAGAAAATGTGAGTAGATGCATAAATACAATGCTCAGGAGACAGGGTCTCTGCAAGATGGGAAAGAGCTTTAAAACAGGCCCTCTACATGTGACTGCTTAATGCAAACATGTTCCTCAGCGGAATGAGATTGCACCATGAAGTGGTTCTCCATCTGCCAAGGTATGTAGGGTTGCCAGATCTCTTGGGCCCCTCCATGTGGCAAGTGGAGGAGGACTTGAACCTCCTGGTTTGTGAGAGTGCCTTTCATAACAAAAAAATTACTAAGAAGATTGTATTCTTATTTATAAAATTTGTATACTGCCCAAAGAGCACAGGTTGGTTCACAACATAAAAATATAAAAAGAGAACACAAAATACATAATAAAACAAAAATGCATTTTGGAACCTTCAGCTCAGCAGGAGCTGGCCACAAATTATAGCATAGATAATCGAGGGTGGGCCTGCTCTCCTCCTTTCCCAATTAACCTTCATTACCAGGGCCCGTCCAATGATATCGCTGGAGGCGATCCCTAGGTGTCAGGTTTTGGCCCTGAAAGTTCAGGGTCTGGGATGCTCCTGATCTGGCAAGTGTGTGTGTGTGTAGTATGTTGTGAGTCACAGAAGGTTCATAGCAAAGGTCTCTCACAGATCCTGCTGTGCTCCCCTCCGCAACTTTTCCTCCCCCTACCAATAGTTCAACTGTTATTTGTTTTAGTTTCTTAAAAAAATAATAATCCAGAACGATGAACTTGTTTCTCTTGTGTATTTCTTCAAAAAGATAGGTTGTGGGTGTTTTTACACAGTGTGTTCATGATGTTTTCCCATTTTCCTTTGCTTGTGTGTGTTTCCTTCAAAGGCAGAGAATTTTCATGTTGGTTTTGTGTCCCCAAACTGCAGGATAGACCCTGGTGAAGGAAGAGGGGGTGGTGGAAGCACACTGTCCCCGGCACTACGATCCTGGTGGGGTGCCGTCGTGGTTGCCCCCACCTTGTGCTGGGTGCCACACCCCCGCAGGTGGAGCACCATGCCCCCAGGACACGCCCCATGCCCCAGCGGGTGGCGCGCCATGCCCCCAGAACTTGCGCCATACCCCTGGGATGCGCGCTAGCCACGCCCCCGCCTGCTCTCCCTCCCCGGTGCCAGAGCATGAAGCTCCGCCACTGAGGATAGAGCCCCTCTAGATGGGAGCAAGGTCTTCGTATGGATGTGGACATGAGGCCTGGGACACCAGGAGTAATCCATCATTGTTCTTTGATGAAATCCTGTCACGTTCTGAGTGAGTCCTAGTGACCCAAAAGGGAAGGGACTGCCTTCTCACATTCTTTAGCACCTGCTTTCCATCATTCAGAGTCCCTTGCACAGCAAGTGCAACTCTGTGTAGGAAATCACTCACCAAACAAATGGTTGCAATGGGTTAAAGCAGGAGTGGGGAGACCTTCAGATGATGTTGAACCACAACTTCCGTCCTCCTTGACCATTGGCTATGCTGGTTGGCAGCTAATAGAGTCTATCTTGTAGAGGACCACAAGATACCCAACGCTGGAATCAGTAGAATGAGGGCTCAGGTTCGGAGATGTGCAGTGCAATCTTATGCATATTCAGAGAGAAATTGAGTTCAGTATGTACAGGATGGCAGCCTTGGGTACCAAACTGTAGATAGTTAAACCCAGTAGATATGTGTTCTCCCTGTTATCTCTCTTTCATTTGTTTATTGCCGTCATTAACATGCTGAAATATGTCTCCCTTGGGTGATGGTCTCCCGTAGGACAGCTACATTGCAAGGAAAGTGGTGGACATAATCCAGGCAAACAAAGCTTTACAGAGCAGAGGGCTCCTCTCCCATCAGCTGCAGCAGTTTCTGGAGGTGGCAGGTGGACTCTCCAGGCTTGGCACCAGCACATGGCATTGTTAGGTAACTGCTTGGGCCACAGCAGGTGGAAGAGCCCACCATAGATGGCTGTGCTGGGCACCAGATGAATTGAGTCTGGGAACCACCATTGTAATTTCCCACAATGACCCTGAGAGATCATCAATTCAAGGCTTTGTGAGTTATTAAAGTAGTGAAGGCTGGGGTGCCACCATTTTAATTTCCCACAATGCCTCAAACTGGCACTGTGTTGGGAGCCTTGTGGGAAATTACACTGGCAACACATCAGCTAGCACTAGTTAAGAGTATTGTTAGCTGCCACTACTTCCAAGCATGTTTACTAAGCAGCTCATTGGCATAGGCATTGTACATTTTGCCAAGGTTCTCATCAAAATGGCAGCCATCCCTGCCTATCCCTTTCTGGCCGCCATCTTGCTTAACTGACTGCATTCTGCTTCTTACGTTTGCCTACAGCATCATGGAACATGGGGTAGAGGGCAGAGATAACATTAGGAAGTGACATCATTACTTCTAAAGTTCTATGACCCTTTGCATCTTGGGAACTGTTGCCCATTCCTGTGCTGTTTTCCCCCCTTTAACTGCCTCTATCAGACAGCCCCATTTTGCCACAAAACATATTTATATCTCTGCCCCCACCCCTTCAGCAAAACAAAACAAAATGGGAAGTTATTTCCATTAGTACACACTCTCATATTTAAATCCCTTTGCATTTCAGCATATTACTAAAATGTGTTCAAATGTGTTAGCATTTCTCTAGAGCCAGCCCTACCATTAGGTAGAGGAGGCAACTGCTTCAGACAGCAAATGTTAAGAGGCAGAGAGTGCCAGCAAAGCCTTGGAAGTCAGATCTGTGTGGCCTGGCTGCTCAGCCTGCCCTTCACCCCCTAAGCTACCTGCTGGCTGCCCTCAGATTCTGGTGGAGGCAGCCAGTGTGATCAGCTTCCATCTGTGGACATCTGGGAGGAAAATGCATCTTGTTTTTCACCTCATCTCAGACTGCAAACTGTCTGAGCCTTGCATTTCTGCGTAATATTTTCGAAGGATTTAACCAAATGTTATCTACTGCAACTGGCATGTAAGGTGATGCACAGACCAAGAGCTTTTGAAGCTAATTGAGCCCTCTGAAGGTTAACTATAGAAAGCTGCACTATTTTCAGGTACAAAAGGGAATGTCCTTAATATTACTCTTGTTACAGAGAGTGTTATTTTCTTACATGCATGAACAAGACAAAATGTGTACATATAATTTAACATCTATGTGGGGGTTTGACTTCTTTTTCTTTTTTTTACCTATTTGTATGCAGTAGAAGGCTTGTTGTAGGAAAAGCATATCTGAATATACTGATAATAAAAAAAGAAACTAAGTTATACATTGCCAACACAAATGTTAACTGCTTATGAATTGTTCCTTTACACAACACACACACACAAAGCCATTCAAGCCTGATTATTTTTCTAAGTAACTTCAATTAAATTGAAGAAAATAATTGAAACGTGTGTGTGTGTGTGTTTTTATTGCATGTGGTATTTCCCACGTACTCAGCTCTCAAAATTATTCATGGTGTGCAGAAAGTAGCTAGAGAAAAGCTTCCCCCCCTCTTTCATAATACTAGAACCAGTGGTGTAGCATGGGTTGTCAGTGTCTGGGACCGCACAGAGTGAGGGGGTGGGAGGGAGGGAGATGCCATACACATGTGCGTTCAACTGCCTAACAGCGTCTGCATCACCCAAGAGACTCCAGCCACATAGATAAGAAAGAAGAGTCATTCCATTGTCTGGAGAGGTCACTTCCTGGTTTGCATGGAGAAGACGTTTTTAACGGAGCCCAGCAACGGAAGCACACAGCTGTATTGAGGCAGCACCGGGTGTTGAAATCTTGTGCCCCCTAACAATTTTGCATCCGGGGCAGCTGCCCCTGTGCCAGCCCACACTCACCAACTAGAACCCAGGGACATTGAATGAAGCTGAATGCTGGAAGACTCAGTAGGACAGAGAAAAGAAAGGACTTCTTCAAGTAGCCCAATTATACTACAGAATTTGCTCCCAGAAGACACAGTGACAGCCACCAAATTAGGTAGCTTTAAAAGAGGATTAGACAAATTCATGGAGAAGGCTATCGGTCCATGATGACTAGGCTCTACCTCCACTTTCAGAAGGAGTGTGCCTCTGAATATCAGTTGCTAGGAATCTCAGATAGGGAACATGTTATTGGCCTACAGCACCTATCATTCCTGAGCACTGTTAATGCTGACTGGGGCTGATGGGAATTGTAGGCCAACACTGGACAGCTACAGGTTCCCTAACTGCTGCTTTAAAGGTTTTTTCTTTTCTTTTCTTAACTAGACATATAGGTATTCTTGTGACTTCGCACCATTGTTTTCCAGCCTGAATCTTCAAGAGCAAGATTGGCCCTAAACTGAAGTGATGTGGATGCCTTTAAAAAAAGAAAAAAAGATACAGGAAGATTTACTTGCATGTGTTGACATGTCTCCTACCATGTTGTAACCTCAAATTTGATGTTATTTAAAACTCGAGAGTTTGGGATGTTTAACTGAGCTGTGGGCGTGGGGTGTGGAGAAGTTCCTGTGCCGGCAATGGCAGACTTTTAAAGGCTCTCTGACCTTTAAATTGCCATGATAGACCACACAGCTCACTTCTTTCCCCATCCATATTCCACATCTGATTTTACGCAGGGAAGAGAAAGACATTCCAGGAGTCTGAATGATAGCAGCGCTCTGTTCATATTTATCTTCATGAGTGAAAATGGTAATTTGTAAATGTTCCTGCCATGCCCGAGTTATTGCTACATTTGTCTTCAATCAAACAGAGCCGCATAATGGATTGGCCATCTTGTATTAAATGTACATTATTACTTTGGTATAAAAATGTTATTAGAGTGAATGCAATAAGCTTTTATGTGCAATTTGTATTGCAGAAAATGATTTTTAAAATGTAGCTTTGCAGTATGGAGAAATGAAATGACAAGAACTTTGCTGATCAGATATTTCCTCCCCCCGCTGCCCCCAAAAGTCTAATAGCTTCAGAGAAGGAAATGCAATTTAGATAGGGGGACATAAAATAGTTTAGAAATAGGGTGCAATAACAGAAATAGCAAACCTGGCATTACATTGCCTCACCTATGAACTTTTAGGATTATAGAATCCTAAAATTGGAAAGCTCAAATATCATCCCTTAGATGCAGGCTTACATGCGCATAACATTTGGGGCATATAAATAAATCCACACTCCTATATAGATCTTTTACTTGCTATTTCTGCCCTGCTTTGTTAAGAACAAGCTGCATAGATGCTTTCCGTAGAGAAGAATAAATTTGCATGTATAAAAATCAGACTATGACTGATCCAGCAGGTAGCAGTTTAGCTTTCCCCTGCTCTTTGTAATCGCCCTGCACAACTTACTCCATGGCCCATTTTAGCAATTAGGACTTGATCTCACTGCCTCTCTCCACCTGCTCACACAGGCACTGATCCACATGCAGCAGCAGCACTCCTTTTGCCATGAAGCCTCCCCATCCTCACCTCCATTGATAGCCCTTCTGCAAACAGAGAGCTGCATTTGAAGAAAAGCTGCAAACACAGCCAAGTGCTCTGCAGTAAGACCGAAATGGATTTGCCCTCAGAATTTTAAGTGTCGTTCTTGCTACCCAGCTCCCCCTTGGATGTTCTTTGCTGCTATTTTGATCTGCTACTTCCATTAACCAGCTCTCTCTTGCCCACCCACCCCCCATGGTAGCACTTGAAAACTGCTAAGAAGTGACCCTCTGCTCTTCTGTTCTCCAAGTGAGACGGGTTCCCAAAACATTTCCACCTGCCCTCCCTCAGCCCCTCAAATTCAGACCTAAGCTGCTCCTGCCTGCGTGGCAGTTCCCTATTGTCTTCCCCTTTTTCTCCCTTGCTGTTGCTCTCGTTGCCAGGCAACAGGAATGGGCCCGGCATGTGAGAGAAGCACTGAGCAATTACCTTCCAAGTTGTTAGCATCAATGTGCTTAGGTAAGATAAGGGAACTTCGGAAGATCAAAAACAAACCACAACTCTACCGTCTTGGACAACCTATGGGGGAGTGCTCATGGGGCTGTAGAGGAGGCGGCTCGCGAAAATGTTTGCGATTATGCTCTTTGCATAAATGCATATATTTCACTTGGAGAGTAGAGTGTTTCGGGAAATTGGATCTGGGAGTTATTTTTCCATAGATGTGTCAGCTCCCACCACAAGTCACATAACGACCAAAAATACATCTGCAAATCAATCAATGTAGATCCAGGAGATTTTAAGCTTATGTCCTTGAACAATGAAGTGTGTTGAAACAGAAACCATTTGAATTCTGCTATTTCTAGCTGTCTATCAGTTAGGACGAGTCATTGGATTGGCAGGACTGTTTCACTGATCTCTCCAGCAGTCCAATTTGCTAACTTTTCACAGTAGAGTTTGCTGGTGCACAGGGAGAAAACTCTGCCCACTTTGCTTCTTCCCTGCTCCAGCTGTACTACCAGAAATAAGCCACAATTTAGCTTAACACTATGTCAAAACCCAGGCTCACTGTTTGTGGCCTCCAAACGAACCACAAACTGTAAACCAAGAGCAAACTTTGGTTGCAGCTCACGGTTTGTTTGGAGACAGACAAGCCTCAAGCCTGGGTTCAGATATAATGCCTAACTGTGGTTTAACTCCAGGTAACTCAGCAGGAGCAGGGAAGGATCAAAGCAGCCACAATTTTCTCTATGTGAACCAACACACTGCACATTCGCCTGTAAACCATGGTTGAGATTGCCTATGGTTTAAAGTGGGGGTACAGACAAGGCCAATGAGTAGATCACCGTTTACTTTAGTGTCCCACAAGTTAAGCATGGTTTAAAAGTGATGCAAGCATGCTGTCAACCTTATCACATCATGCCTGAGGATTACTTCACGGTGAGCTCCATTTCAATTTCAGGAGGTGTAACATTTCCCAGAGCTGAATATTAATTGTGGCAAAGTGTGCTGCAATTGTAGAGTTGTTATCTATTAAACATTAATGTAATGTCATAAGCTCATGCTTCTAAATATTTATTAAGACATGTAAATGTTTAAAGTACAATTTCAATACCAAAGAAGAAAACCTGATCTATTCTCTGTGCTATTCTGTTGCATGTCTTAACGGTGTTTTGCCAACTTGAAGAGTGCCCCAGTTGTTGTGGCTATCAGTTCTTATTTACTCAAACACCCCAATTCTTTGGTAAACCAGACGCTCATGATATATCAAAGGGAGGCACTCCATTGGTTGCCATGACCATCTCTATCCATCCAAAGGCCACCATTGCCCAGGAAATGAACCAACAGGTCTTTACAAACTACATGTTTGTAGGCCAACATAAAGCAAAGTTATGGTGTGACCATGAAGATACGTTATGGATATATTATAATATTGGCATAATCTAGGCCACCACATAGTTTCCAACTAGACCTAGAATCAAAATTTAATTCTTCAACGTCAAAAGGAGGAATAAAATAACCTTGAACGTCTTAGGAAGATTGCTGGGTATGGTTCATTTATCAGTGGTCTCTCTGATCTCATATGATTGTGTTGTATGCTATTCTGGGCACTTTTAGTATTAAGCGTCAGCCACACCCAGCATTCAGTACCAAATGAAAGACCTAATATTTCTAGCTAACAGCAATTGCAGATGAAACACGCTGCTTCTACTGCTTTCCTGAAGACATTCAGGGACCTTCAGAGCACCGCTGCACACATCCCCATTCCTGTCCTGCTCAGGTCCTCCTTGGATATGTGGTCATAACTGGGAACAAGAATGAACCAATCAGTTGTCACACTAACTGAGCCAAGCTTGTGCGTTTGTGGAAGAGGTTAGTGGCAGAAAAGAAGTCCCAACCTTTGCATCTTATCCTTCTTCTGCAGGGCACCAGCAAGCTGTAAAATAACTATTAGAGAACTTTAGGGCTCTAATATAAAGGGAACTTTACAGTAAGTACAATATGGCCAAATCAAGTCCTTGCATGAGTCTTTTAAAAGGTATTCTTTGCATTAATGTTCTACCTGAAAACCCATCTCACACATAGTGGTACATTTAATGGCAGTGGTGGCCAAACGTTTTCCAAAGAGGGCCAGATATAATAATAATAATAATAATAATAATAATAATAATAATAATAATAATTTATTATTTATACCCCGCCCATCTGGCTGAGTTTCCCCAGCCACTCTGGGCGGCTCACTTCATTTGATGAAGTGAAGGGCTGTGAGGGCCAACCAAAGTCGTTAACCTCTTTTTAGGATTGAAGTTTTTGAGCTTTTTTATGATTTTACCCCAAACTTGTTGAGCTTTTCTTTAGGATTGATGTTGTTGAGGTATTTTTAGGAATTTACCGTACCTCGGGAAATAAACTGCCACAGGGGCCGGATTAAACCGACCAGCAGGCCAGATTAGGCCTCTGAAACGGACTTTGGAGACGGCTGGTTTAGAGGCTGCTGGTGCTGCCACACACACGTCCCCTGGCAATTACTGCTTACCTTCCCTTCTTTCCTTATATTTCAGGTTAAGTAGTACGACAGAATGTTATTCTGGTCTGGTATATTGAGTACATCTTAGGCACCGGCATATACAAATCTTGAGCCCTAAACAAATTAAAGTACCACACATACACTAAATGGATAGTGATATATTAAAAACAGAATAAATTTTATTTGTATTTTTCTCAGAAGCTATGTGGGTTTGGTTCCAAAAACTTTAAAATTCCATAGCCTCTTCAAACATTAAAATATTTTTCATCAGACCATAATTCCACATAAAGGTAGCTCAACCAGAATTAAGCTTAATTGCTTCTAGATCTATATCCCCAAATAAAAGGATTCTGAGTTATCTCCAACTGCTTTTTAAAACAAAATGAATAGGAGTGCTATCTACAGTACTACAGACAATGTACCATTCTGATTAATGCTAATACAGACTAAGGGGAACAAGGGAACCTAGAGGACAGTCCAATTTTCCTTCACAATTCTGAAATATTATTTTATGTGCTAGCCTTGCAATTCCAGCAGCAAAGCAGTCCGGTCATAATTATGCAAAAGCTTTTAATGCTTTTAATGTGTGGGGAAAGTTATTCATGTAAGGTTTCAATTAGAAAGCCAAACAGCTGCCAGCATCTTGAACTTCTTTGAAGATGAGGGTACTCAGCGAGCAACTAGGCCTATGAAGTTTTTTTTGGCTATATCAATAAAAGTCAGCATGTGAAAACTGAGGTCTCGTACATAACTTTCACTGCCTAATTTGCATATCCACATTTGAAATAAATCAACTGGATGTAACTTGGATATCTGAAAAGGGATCCACCTTGTGCAAATTCCATTGATACTAATGGGAAGTGCAAAATGCCCATTCATTACAATTAAACTTGTGTGGCCACATTTGTGGTTTGTGGAGGGGGGAGCGGTTGCATTGCCATGGTTTAAAAAGTTATTTGCTTCGTTTATAGAACACCCAAGGCAGCACACAAAGCTGCCTTTGTGGGTAATCTGGGTAATCTTCCCACCAAACCCCCACATTCCAATTACATAAATAGCGATAAGGCCTGTAAAGTTGGGGATATAACATATAATGCTGCAGAGCTGCATTACACAAATGAATTTCAGGACTGCAACCTGCCTGAAAGTTCCCGTACTACAATGGGAAAATGTGTTGTTGTTTTTTTACAGATATTTTGAAACACAAAACCTGAAATGGTGCAGACACGATGGGAGCTATTCATTTCTTTATCAGTGTGCCACAGGCACTAGTTAACAGGTACCTGTGATACTCACACAATCACATTCTACAAAGCACTAATTGTATCACACAACTGACATACCGGGCGTGGGCAATGACATTTCATTTTCTCAGACCAAACTATTCTGCTTTATTTCATTATCAGTTATGAAATTCCCCCAGTTTGAGTGCTGGGGAAATCTATTTCTTTAGAATAGCACTGTTCTGATTTGAAAGATGCCTGAATCCTCCAGAATGCAACCCCAATCATTTTTGCAGTAAGGCTACGAACCTATTATCCCTGCAAGGTTATTCCAGGAACTATAGGACATTGCAGACCTGAGCAGAGGAGGACCATCCTGAGAGGCTTCCTCATTGCAGATGTAGAAACCTCCACAGCTGGTGCTCTGAGAGGGGCAGGGAGGGATGGGACATGTTAGGGATGGATCTGGGATCTCTGGGATCCAAATTCCTTCTATCTCCTGACATTACTCACCCCACCAACAATGGAGTGAAAATACACCAGCTCTGGAACTGGCTTATTTTCTCTCTGACCTCCTGTCCTTGCTGGTATAAATCCAGCAGAAATTTCAGAGACCATATCTGCCAGAGATTCTTAAAGACTAGCTCTTCTTAAAGGCTAGAAACTTCTTAAAGAATAGACCTGCCAGAGATTTTCCCTCCCTTGCCTCCATAGGATTGCTCTATCCAATGATCATTTGGAAAAAAGCCCTGAGCAGTCTCACACATTTTTACTCAGAAGCAAGTCCCACTGAGTACCGTAGGGTTTACCCCCCAAAAGTAAGAGCAAACAGGACTGCAGACTAAAATTCCAGCTGCCACTTGCTGGATGGAATTGTGTGGCAGAACTACTTGGCTGAATATGTCCACGGTTTCTTTCTCTTCGACTATTTCTTAAATTAAAAAAACACACCCTTTCACCAATTCTCTCTCTTCAGGATCCATATTGCCGTTCCCCCATAATTACAGATCAAAAGCCCCACTTTTTTCTTCTTAATTTCCAATACTTTACAATAAACCGCAAAAGACAAAACTGAACATTTTAAAACTGTGCCATTGAACCTTTTAAAATACAATCATTAATACAACATTAACGTCCATGCATGATAGTACTGAGTTATCTCTGTTAGAAACTTCTTTCCCACTTTCAGCTGATTAAACAAGTTTTTGGAATAGAAGCTGCTTTATTCTGTCTCACCTGCGACTAAAAAGGAGCGTCAAATACCCTGTAGAATGTCCTGCTCGAACTTTTCTTTATTACATGCACAAATCATCTGTTTTACTTATTTAGCAAATGGTGTCTGATTCCAGAAGATTTAACTATAACTGTGAACCCATTATAAGTTGAAATGCAGTCAGGCTGTTCACTGAAAAGTAAATTTGTGATGAAGAGACACATCAGTGGTTAAGTCACATCTTTCTGCTACTAATTGACCATAAACTACATTTCTGGACTTTGTTTCTTGGTACAATACTGGCTGGCCTTTCTCTTTCTGTGGCCAGCAAGAAACAGCCACACTCCCCTGCAGTGTAAAAAATATTTAAAGCCTATTTTCACACTTCCACGTATCCCCCCCCCTTTTAAAATTAAGGCGATTTGATATCAGTGCCACCTTTAAGTTACCATAATATCCGAATTCAACCACTGTTTTGAAGTCCTCTTCGGATGAAATGGTAAGCCAAGTGGTTGTCTCCTGTTTGTCATCTTCATCTAATGGGATCAGCTGTGTGCTTGTCTGCATTATTAGTCTCCTACATCTCCATCTCTATCACCAATGAGCCACAGAAAGTGAAAACTCATGGCAAGTAAGGCAGTTCCAAGAAGATCACCAAGAGCAGTAAGGTAAGGGATAGAAAAACTGTCCGGATCTTTTCCTTTTTTCCAGAAGTGGTGAACCATCCAGTCAGCAATCCATAGCAATGTAAACACCTATGGCAAAATGAAAAAATATATAAATCACATTGACATGATATCTATGGCAGCATCTGAAATCCACTATTTCTACTAACTTATTTGAAAGAAAGGTTGAGCTCATGGTTCTTTATGTATTTTGCAAAGACTGCCTGTAGGCTAAAAAATAGATTTAAATCAATTAAGATTTAAATCAATTTGGACCTTCAGGAAATAAAGACTTATAACCCAAGCTGTTCCTGTATCAAAACACACAAAAGATTTCCTGAGTCCAAAACAATTTAAAAAGCGGGCACGTCCACTGTGATTTTTGGTATACAGACTCAATGTTTCAAATACCATTTTGAAAGTGTGCGTTTTCTTAAATATTATTTAAATAGCTAAAATGGAAAATTAGATGTTACAGTATTAGGCACACTGAAATAATTTAATACTTCTAAGAGAATCCCTACCTTTGATTTGTACTACAAAAGAATTTTTAAGATGTAACCATATGGTTTTCAAATTAGCAATTTTCTGTCCCTTTTTCCATTATGAAATATGTATAAGTTATTCAGATACACCTCCCTGCTGAAAAGGCCGCTCTGTAGCCTCAGCTAATTATGCATGTGCTAGGTGTGCTCCTCTCTGCAAACCAAACAAATATATTTGAAAGCACATGTTTTCTTTGGAAGAGACTGTCAGATTCTTTGAGGCAGCTCCTCTTTTACCAAAGCAGGCAGAAAGTGAGACTAGGGACAGTGATGCCAGCCTTTCACATCCCCATCCCACAGAAACTGTCCATCTCTGGGCTCCAAGACATAAACGTGACCAGTACCATGGAAGGTGACGTTACATGGGGAATTGTTATAATTTGGGTCTCTTATTTCAGTTGGCCAGCACCACAACATTAGCAAAGCGATCAAAGGCAAATCTGTCCCCCTCTGCCAAGACCGAAGTTGTGCAGGCTGTAGAGGACCAGAGTGGGTGGGAAAGAGTCTGGAAACAGATGTGACAAGTGGGAACATGCAGTGGCATTTGGGCAGAGATTGCATTACTTGATACAACAGCAGCAAGAATACTCATCGCAAAGTATTGGAAGACACAAGATCTACCCACTCTGGAAGAATGGCAGATGAAAGTGATGGACTATATGACATTGGCCGAGATGACAGGCAGAATCCGTGACCAACGAAAAGAGACGGTGGAAGAAGAATGGAGAAAATTTAAAAGTTATCTTAAGGACTACTATAAACTTAATGAATGTTAAAATGTTGTGGTTTCCAGAAACAAAGGGATACAGGGATATAAGGTTAGAAATATAAAAGAGGACTAAGATGACAGAGATTGGAAAGTAACAATTGGGAGTTGCTAGTTGAATTATGGACATTGGGATGCAGAGAGGGGGGGTATGGGGAAGTCAAAGGAAAGAGGTTTATGAAAATATGTTTGAAACTATTCGTGTATGTTTGTCTTTTTTGGTGTTTGTTTGTTTTTCTTAAAAAGTTTCTAAAACCAATAAAAATTTTATAAAAAAAAAAAAAAAGAGATTGCATTACTTGAGGGGGGGTGTTAATTATTAGAAATACTAATAAAGAGGAGTCTAAGCTAACTAAAGCACATACCATTGTGTTGTTTATCTAAAATGCTTTCGAAACTGAAGTTTCACATTCAAATATATTTCTGACTGCTCAGGACCTTTGAGAAACAGCTATGTGGGGTATGAAAAGAGAAATACTGGAGACAAGGTGATTGAAATGTTGCTTGTCCTTGGGTAGAAAAGGAAAGCAAACTTGAAGGGAAGCAAATATTTATATTACAACAAAATGTAGGTTTTTCTGCCTTCCTATTGTTGTAAAGAACCAAAAGCCTTATAGGCCACATTTGAACATTATGTTAAACCATGGTTTAGCATAATACAAACCACAATGAGCAGTGCCCCTTCCTCTCCCCTTGCATGGCTTCCACTTCTGATTAACAGTGCTTTGTTGCGCTGTCTAGACTAACAAATAATAATAATATTAATATTGCCTAGTTTAAAACAAGGCAACATCAAAGCATGGTTTCTGAAGCTGTCTGGTTTAAGTTAACCATAGTTAATGTTAACCACAGTTCTGGGTCCAGGCAACGCAGCAAACAGTGATGAATTAGAAGTAGAAGCAAAGTTTTGAACTCCTTTCAGCAACATGAGGGGAAGGGAGGTGGCGTGTTGGAGCCTGAGGTTTGCTGTGGCTTGTTCACACACACTACACTATGGTTTAGCACAATATGTAAGGAGACAGCACAAATATACTTCCTTATATTTTCCAACCCCAAAACCCAATGAAGTGAGTCTGTGTGTATACAACTCACACCTCTGCCTTGCCTTAAGCTTCCATTTATAATATATGCACCAATTTGGTACCAATATTAATAAGCAGCTCTAAATTTTTTGTTTTGACTGCAGTCACGCACAATTCTATTCCCTGGTGGGAAAAGAGAACTGGCACAATTACTAGCAGAAACCCACTGGAACTCTGCCCAGTTCTGGTCTCCCTTATGTTCCGTGCTTTTCTATTCCTGTTATGAATATCAGTTTGTTATCTCACGTAACATCTCCACTGCCTCTAAAACTAGTGATGCTGTGGTCTAATGTGGTTCATTCATCCTTCACACTGAGTAACACTCTGGACCAATGATCTGTTTATCTAGGTTTTCCCATTATTTCACTTTTCATCAAAAATATATCAGATCTGTACATCTCTATTCTAAAAACATGAACAAGAACCAAACCTGGGTTGTTGAGTAACTAATGTAGTCCAGAACTGGAATTAGATTTAAACTGCAGCTCAGTCTTAAGATTGAGTCAGATAGTAGTTCATTAACATACAGTTAGTCCTCAGAAACTGATTTTAAACAGTGGATTTCTACACATTAAATCGGCTTTGCAAATGGTAAAACTGGTTCTCACGACACAGTCAGTCAGACCATGCAGAGTTTGGGTTGCCATGTGGTCCAAACTGGGACTCATGGCTAAGTCCTCTTCTCCCTAACTAGGAATCCTAGGCAAGGTTTGCCAAATATCCTAGCTCAGCTGACTTGCAGAAAAATATTCAGGACATGAAGAGTTAGAGCTTACCCACACTTATCTTTTGCCCTGCTCTTTCCACGCACAGGTCCGTGCTTAAAAGCTCTGTGTCCAAGCATTTCCCCCACAAAAACCTGCTCTTTGGTGCTCAATCTGAGCAAATGTCAATTCAGGTTTTCTGCAGACTGTCGTTTGCTCCAATCGAGCTTCAAAAAGTGGGTTTTCACAGGGAAAACTCTGGAGCAAAAAATAGGCTGCTTGGACACTGAGCTTTAATGTGCAGATGGTGCCTGGAAAGAGTGGAGAAAAAGTAAGTGTGGCCCTCACTTGTCAGATACTAGAACAGTCTCATTAGGGCAATAAACATAGAGATAATAGGCTGTCTTTATATAGCTGAAGCAACAACGGTCAACACAAATGTGCTCTTATTATGCTTTTGTTAATTTTTCTTCTCAAAATGTATCACCATCTGCTTTTCGAATTTTGCTTTAAGCCAATTTAAGGAATAAATGTTCCCAAATGATATTTAACTGCCAGGGGTCTAAACAGAGTGTTGTTTTTAACAGAGAAGGGCTGGCAACTAATCTAATGAATTCTCTGACATACAAGAGAAGGAATATTCAAAACGTGCTGTTTTGCAGGGCAACAACAATTTTGATTCTTAGTGGATACAATCAATTTTATTTTACCCTGCCAAATTTATTGGGCAATAATGTCTAGAGTTTCCCATTACTTGTTTATTCCCAGAGCCCTTAACACAACTGTGTTCTGAGATTTGCCTCGGAGGTGTGAAAATTCCAGAGCGCTCTTTACTGGCTCAGCAGGAACCCGAAGTACAGAGGCTGCCTTTGAAAGTCACAAACCCTGAATCACAAAACTGACGGCTTCCTTACTCCAGTCTGGCCTTCAGTCTGATGATGGCTGACAAGTCTGAAAATGAAGCCTTTTTCTTTATACCCAGCTGAATATAGTTCAAGCAGGCTGTATTTTATTATTATTTTCTCTAAAAAAAAGTATCGTTCAATCATATATACAGCTGTCTCAGAGAAGTTTGTCCTTTTTATAAAGAATACATCAATCACTTGAACGTATAATGTTTTTTGAGAATAGTTTGTATTCCACTCCAGCATTGCAGATGGATCCAAGTTAATTCAACAAATAGGGACTTCAGGAGAACATATTGTTTAACCATGCCAAGAATATATGCCATATGAAGTAATAGATATTTTATGCCACCTAAATTATAGAAATCTTCAGGGTACCTCTGAACTCATCTTGTGATGCAAACACATTTTGTGAGGGAATCGTGCATTGTACCTGGGGCCGCAGTGTTCCGTTACTAAAATTGGTACAGCTGTTTTTTTTTATATCGTGCCAGGTATCTAATATTCAGGCTCTTAGCCAGGAAAAAAAATAGTTGCACATAAGTTCCACTGAAATCCACAGAAAATTTATTTTTCTGTTCAGGAATGTAGGAAGTTGCTTTATATGTAGGAAGCTGAGGACCTAGAATGTAAAGGTAAAAGGCAAAGGACCCCTGGACGGTTAAGTCCAGTCAAAGGCGACTATGGGTTTGCGGTGCTCATCTCGCTTTCAGGCTGAGAGAGCAGGCATTTGTCCATAGACAGCTTTCCAGGTCATGTGGCCAGCATGACTAAACCACTTCCGGTGCAATGGAACACCGTGATAGAAGCCAGAGCGCATGGAAACGCCGTTTACCTTTTCGCCGCAGTGGAACCTATTCATCTACTTGCACTGGTGTGCTTTCCAACTGCTAGGTTGGCAGAAGCTGGGACAGAGCAACAGGAGCTCACTCTGTTGTGGGGATTCGACCCGCCATCCTTCTGATCAGCAAGCCCAAGAGGCTCAGTGGTTTAGACCACAGCGCCACCCGCGTCCCAGACCTGGAAGGTAGTACTCATTCCAGAGTTTTACGAAATCCATGTTTTAGCATGGCAGCTTCTACACTTTGGAACTGCCTGCCTGTTTATATGAGGTAGGCATGTAAACTGTACTCTTTGCTGTACTCTTTTGGGCAGGTACAAGACTAATGCCTGGAGGCTTCAATGGGCTAGATAAGGACCAGAAAATTGAGACTGAATGCTGATAACACATGAGTACTTTTAGAAGGCAGTTCTTTTGTCTGGGAACTGGGAAGATGATCTGTCCTTGACAGTCACACTTCCCTGAAGGAGCAGGTGTGTAGGCTGGGGGTACTCTGAGGTCCAGTTTCACCATTTGGGGCTCAGGTGGTTTCAGTGGTTAGGAAGCACCTATTTCTAAGTTTAGGTTGGTTTGCCGGCGACAACCTTCCTAGTCAGACATAGCCTGGACCATGAGTGACCACATTCTGCTAACCTCCTGCCTGGACTACTGCAATCTGCTCTACATGGAGCTATCCTTGGGAACAGTTCAGAACCTGGAGCTGCACATGTTGTGAGAGGTGTGGCAAGAAAAGATCACATAACACAAGTCCTGTGCAACCTTGCATGGGCTGCTGATTCGCAAACAAACCTCATTTGAGGTCTGGACTTTAACACACAAAACCCTAAGCTGATCAAGACCCATCTTCTTGATGCAATGCCTCTCCCTTCAATTTCCAGTGGAGGCCCATCTCATGGTCCCTTCAACAAACGTGGGTTCATTTGTGGCAATGGGGAAACAGGGCCTTCTCTGTGGTTTCCCCACATTGTGGAACTTCCTCCCTACAATGATAGGGCTGTCCCCCTCACTAGGTGACAGCTGAAAACACATCTGTTCATGAAGGATTTAGGGGAAGACTGTGAGTGGTGTGAATGTTTTTGACACTAAATTATTTTCAATGTTTTTTTAAATGATTGTAGTAATGTTTAAATTAAGCATTTAAGGATTTTATTATGTGTGTTCACCACCCTGGGATCCTATAGAATGTGGGCTAGTTTATAAATGCAAACGAAGAAACAAAGTATTGGCCTTAACTGAGCCCTAATAGTGAACAGTGGTCTGGAGGAATGTCTGGCTGGCTGGAACCCTGAACAGGAGCACTTCTGTTAGACAGTGTGGATGTAGGGAAACATTTGGTTGCAGGTTCCACTTGCTCCCTTTAATAGTAATGTGGGCAGTCCTGTGCCAACCAGTAGGATAGCAAACCAGGGTCAAACACTGATCAAAACAGTATTTTACTATATATAGAATAGAGAGTGGTAGGTTTGGCAGCTCTAAAACAGCTGCTTGGGGAAAGGACTTCTCTCAACACTTCTGCCCTCCAGTGTGATATCATAGGCCTTCAGCTTGTTTACTATTTCAGAGTTACTTACAAAGATCAGAATGAGACAAGAGAAATTTATTGACTGCATTAATTCTACTGTTATTTCGTAACTGTGTCTGATAGGTTAGGTCAATTCACTAGGAAACACTTTTTTTAAAGAAAAATGAACATATTAATGCCTACTTTCAAGTCTAGAAAGTCACACATTTTCCTTAATGAAGCAATTTTAACCTAACACAAAGAACAGGTTCAGAATGCTGCCATAATCATTACAACGGAAGGAAAATGCAAATACAGAACTGCAGAGGTTTGCCCTAAAATCAATTGAATGAATAATGAATTAGACAGGACAAAGCAATGCTATATCAAATCAACTCACATTGGGGGAAGTTCATAACTGATTGTTGCTTTGGGGCATATATTTATTCTGCCTTTCTGGAAAAATTAATTTCAATTTCAAACACAGAATGCTTTCAGCTTACTTGCTAAAATGCAGGTGGTGTAAGATACAGATTGTGGCCTCAATATGAAGATGAAAAAAACAAACAATAATGCTGTACTAATGAAGCTATGTTGGAAACCTTTATTGCTGAAGGTGTTGACATGCAACTCATTTGCTTGATAATTAAAATGTGAATAATTTTCATAAGGTACTGAACAGGAGTAGGGACGTGGGTGGTGCTGCAGGTTAAACCACAGAGCCTAGGACTTGCTGATCAGAAGGTCGGCAGTTCGAATCCCCGCGACGGGGTGAGCTCCCGTTGCTCGGTCCCTGCTCCTGCCAACCTAGCAGTTCGAAAGCACGTCAAGTGCAAGTAGATAAATAGGTACCTCTCTGGCGGGAAGGTAATCGGCATTTCCGTGCGCTGCTCTGGTTCGCCAGAAGCGGCTTAGTCATGCTGGCCACATGACCTGGAAGCTGTACGCCGGCTCCCTTGGCCAATAAAGCGAGATGAACGCCGCAACCCCAGAGTCGGCCACGACTGGACCTAATGGTCAGGGGTCCCTTTACCTTTTTACTGAACAGGAATGATTGGTGAGGAAGGGTATTGCCACATACCTAACCTCCTAGCAGCAACATTACTACTTAGCGAGAGGGGCAGGGGCAAGGAAGCAGAGTCAGCACTGTGCGAGAACCAGATTGGTTCTGCCCATGCGTCTGCCCAGCACTGACCTCCCTGCCAACCTTCCCAACCTGGGAAGGGGCAGTGACTCTGCTGCCGGAAGGCCAGGTGTGCCCACTGCCCCTCCTCACTGACCACTCCTGTTAGTCACAAGTCTTACAAAAGTCATAGCACCTTCAAAATTGATAGTCTTACAAGTGATTGCCAAAGCGCTTAGGAGTGGTAGCCCAATAATTCCCTGAGAACATACGTGGATAAACCAAGTAATATCTGTTGTTGAATTTCAAAATGATCCTCTCTGACTGGCCCTATAGGGGCTTAAGACTGGGAAGTGAGGTTTTTTTCCCCAGAGGCCACAACTTTCAAAAGATGTCTAAGCAACCAAATTGTTTGTACAATGATTTCACTCCGGACTCTTGGACTATAACTGCTTGTGAGATTTCCCAGTCAAGCTAGATAAAGAAAAAGGGTGTGTGTGTATCAACGAGATTATATATGTGAGAAGAAGGTAGGGGGGAAAACCTAATAATGAGGATATTGTATTAAGTGTGTGTTTGTGTTCTAAGCTGCAAGGAAGGAACCTAAGTGAACCAAACAGGACTTGGGTCTGAGTAAACATGCATGAGATTGCCCTGCCAGACCTTGGAGAAAATCTAATTCAGTTAAATGGAACTTACTTCTGAGTAGACATGCTTCTGATGACTGCAAGACTTGCAGCCTAGTATATAACCTCAGCATGTTTTGGCAGACATACCACTCGGTTGTGCAGGCAGTTATTTAGGCACACACACAAAATTAGGATTGGGGTGCAAATTAACCCTGAACTATACATATCATCTTAGGGATGCGGGTGGTGCTGTGGTCTAAAACACAGAGCCTAGGACTTGCCAATCAGAAGGTTGGCGGTTCGAATCCCCGTGACGGGGTGAGCTCCTGTTGCTCGGTCCCAGCTCCTGCCAACCTAGCAGTTCGAAAGCACATCAAAGTGCAAGTAGATAAATAGGTACTGCTCTGGCAGGAAGGTAAACAGCGTTTCTGTGCGCTGCTCTGGTTTGCCAGAAGCGGCTTAGTCATGCTGGCCACATGACCCGGAAGCTGTACGCCGGCTCCCTCGGCCAATAAAGCGAGATGAGCGCTGCAACCCCAGAGTCGGCCACGACAGGACCTAATGGTCAGGTGTCCCTTTACCTTTTATACATATCATCTTAATAAATGAGTAATGAATCAGAGGACTCAAATGCCAAGCTATCCTCATCATTGCTACCAAGGTCTGCTGGTGCAAGGGGCTGACACAGTTGCCGCAAAACAACATATATGAAAAGTGAAAGATGGAGAGTTAAAAGAGCCATTGTGTGCACAGCTTACAGTTTTTCAGTGCCTGACTGGCAATGCAATGAGGTTTGTGAATGCTAGTACAGCTAATAAAACAATAATAACAGAGGTGTCATTTTAAAAGGCAGAAGACTGCTCTGTTGATATCAGAAAAAGAATGAAAAATAAAAAGAACCTGATGGAATATTTTCATACAATATGATTCCTGCCATAATGCTACACAGATTCCTGATACAACCTAAGTAAGAAAGAATTGCAGTTCAGGTGCTAAATAATTGTAACAAAAAACATGTTTGTCTTGACCAAAAGATGCAAGTATCATAAAAAAGCAAAAGGAAGTAAGGCAGTTGGAGGTGTGGGGAGAAAACAATAGCTCAAGAATCCTTCAAGTTAAAGGTGCAAAAGTTGATGTGCGCCATAGCAACTTATTACACCCAAGATGGTTTAATCATGAAAAAAGATATTGGCTTGTTCTTTCTCAAATGTTTTGAAAACAAACTTTAAATGTAACAGTCTTTGGACATTAATAATAATATTTTCAGATATTTTTATCCTTACCTGTAAAAGGGCTGTGAACAAATATACCACTATGAAGATTGGAGTCAAGGATGTGTGACCACTCTTCATTAAATGAATAGTATATAAGAAAATTAAATGCCCAGGAATCACCAAGAGTAGAAGAACCTGGGCTGATTTATTATTTACTCCTGAAAATAAGAATAAATAATAACATGGTCAGCTTAGTGCTTTAAAAAAAATCACGTTTTTGACAAGTACTGATATGCATACAATATGTTAACCTTTCTTTGGTAGTAATACCATTAGGATTAGTTTTAACCAGGGGTCAGCAAACTTTTTTAGCAGGGGGCCAGTCCACTGTCCCTCAGACTTTGTGGGGGGCTATATTTTGAAAAATAATGAGAGAAATCCTATGCCCCACAAACAACCCAAAGATGCATTTTAAATAAAAGCACACATTCTAATCACGTAAAAACACCAGGCAGGTCCAGAGATGCATTTTAAGTAAAAAGACACATTCTATTCATGTAAAAACATGCTGATTCCCGGATTGTCCACAGGCTGTATTTAGAAGGTGATTGGGCCAGATCCGGCCCCTGGGCCTTAGTTTGCCTACCTATGGTTTTAACCAATCAGCTCCTATAAGTTCCAGAAAGCTATTAAAAAATAATTATTAAAAAAATATGTAAGAAGCATAATTTTAAAATTCTTACTCCTTTATAGTTAACTGCCTTCTAGCAAGCATCAGAATCTTACAATGCTTCTAAAAATACTAAGGGTGGCATTCAACCAAGCTTTACTGAGAATAAACATATTAAAACTAACTTGATCATGTTCATTAATTTCAATGGGTCTAAGGCTACAATCTTAACCCCATTTACTTGGGAATAAGCCCCGAAAAATTCAACAGGACTTTCTTCTGAGAAGACATGGTTAGGACCATACTTTTAAGTCTCCATGTGGTCAGAAAATTTCAGAGTTGCTGCTCAAACACTAAGAATGACTACCTATGTATGTTATGGCTAACTTTTCAGTGATGGAATTATTAACCAGACCGTATTTGAAAAGGAGAAGGAGGAGGAAATTCTGACTTCCTTAGGAATGTTGGGTCCACTGATGGCAAGTAATTTCATCCCTATCAAATACTAAGGTCTGAAAAGGTTCCAGAAATTCCTAATAAATGCTTTCTAGACAAACTTCTGAGACTAATTGTCTCTTAAATCTCGAGCATTTCTTCATTTGGCAGCCATCTAATTATGGGATTATGCATTAAAGGGAGATGCGTAACACATACCTGTACCACAATATGTCCGGCATGGATAATAGCAACCCTTGGCTTCTTCTGGTAATTCTCCAGGAACACTATGTAAATGTAAATATGTAGAAATTCTGCTTGCTTGAATTGCCACTAGATTACCACCAATACCTATATAATACAGAGGGGGAAAACAAATTTAACTGTTATATTAATAATTAGGTAACAATGCAGCATAACAAATCTAGCATTAAAGATCCTCATATCTCTATCGGACTGCTTTATGCCTGACACACAGCAGGCAAGATACACATACAAACAGCAGCCTCTCATTTCACGATGGTCAACTCAGCTGAGGTCTTACTACTGCTGCTAATGCATTTATGATAGGAGCTACATGGAAAAAAGAGGGGTGCAATGCCAACTGAGGCAGTTTAAAATCTGAGGAGACTTACAGAACAGGCCTTACACTAGTAAGTGTCAAAAGCCAGAGATCAAGAGCCTATGTAATGTGAACTTCAAATCATCTATGAAGCTTTTTAAGTTGTTTTAGGCATATTTCTCTCTTTCTCATCTAAGCACTTGGAAAAAGGACACCCTTACCAACCAGCTATACGTGCAATTAATGTATGTGTTGGCACATATTAACCACTTCCTTCCAATCAAGTAACGAGGGGGCAATCATTACCTTTGCTTTTACTTTTTGTTCAATGGCTCTCAAACCATTCAATCCAAAGGAGTACTGAACTGCAAGTACTACCATTCCATAACACAAATGCAATCTGTTTCAACATATCATGTGAAAGCGATAAGGGGAGGCTTTGAAAAATGGCTCAAGACTCCTAAGTTCCATTTATGTAACACATTCTAGAATCGTGTTGTGCTTGTAGGAATGAGTCCTCTGCAACGGAGGTGCTGAGCAGGTGATGGTTCAGACCACTCAGTTACTCTGGGGAATAAAGCCATTTGCATTCCAGATTCTGTCGGTAAAAGCCTCGCGGAGGGGATGGGATGGCTAAGGGTTGAGGAGGAAGGGGAGCTGGAGAAAGGATGCAGAGCAGGCAATAATAATAATAATAATAATAATAATAATAATAATAATAATAATAATTTATTATTTATACCCCGCCCAAGGGGAAAACATAACTAAGACAACACATAAGCCAAGAGAGAGGATGAGCTGTGCTGTGTCAGCTCAAGGTTTGGGAGGGTCCTTGGGCAAGACATCTCCATGGGCCCCTCTACCTTAGGACTTATCCACTTTTCCCTTTTGCCCTGTTCCTTCCAGGGACAGCTACTCACTTAAAAGATCTGTGTCTCAGTGTGGGGTTTGGTTGGTTGCCCCCCCCCCAAAGCTTACCCTGTGAAAACCTGTTCCTTAGCACTCAATCAGAGCAAATGCCAATTTGGGTTTTCCACGGACTGCTGTTTGCTCTGATTGAGCTTTAAATAGCAGGTTTTCACGGGGGGGGGGGGGGGCTCAGATGCAGAGCTTTGCAGTTTGGACGGTTCCTAGAAAGAGCATAGGAAAGGTAAGTGTGGAAAGGCCCTTAGTGACTCTATCTCCTTGCAGGAGCAGGCCCAGGATCTGGAGTGTGGACCCTAGGCAAATACTCGACCACGGTGACCCCTGACCCAGGCCTATGCACAGTTCACACAAAAGGAGTGGACAGGCCAAAGAGCCCATGAGAGCCCTGTCTAGCTCTCAACAGTGGATTTCTGCCCTTTGTGTCACTCCAGCCTTGTGATTTGGCAATGATCAAGAAGTGTTGAGTTTATACAGGAGCTGAATTTCGCTTTTTCTCTTGCTGCAGGCTTACAGAAAAACCTTAAAGCCCTTAAAACCAGTCGTAGGGATTTCTTACAAGTTCTTGAATGGTGTGCAGCTCACTGTGATGTTAGAGACATGCCGTGTGCCTCCTATTTTCTTTACTGCAACCATCAGGGGCTCTGGAGTTGATTGGAATGGGGAGGCAGGAGGACAAGGTGCTTAACTCTTTTCTCTCAGGCCATTTCCCCCAACAAAATTGCCTCGGCCAACTGCTCTTCTTCCTGTGAGGAAAATGATACATGGAGCTGGTGCCCCCCTTCCCCATACTACCAAGGGAGAAAAAGCAGTTTAAAAAAAGGCAATTTTGATCATAGAAGTAGCCTGAGAGGAAAGATTTAAGTCCCCGCAAACTACTATTCTGATTAAATTTGAAGCCCCCATGAAGCTACAGTAAAGTTTAAAATATAAACAAAAACTGTGAGAATGCACATTAGAAAAAAATTGAACTGTTCTTTGCCCAACAGATTCCTTGGTGGCATACCAGTTCTTAAAAAAACAAAACAAAAAAGCCCGTAATATCCTTAATACAACAACATAAGCACAAGGCAATGAACTACAAAACTATTAAGCAAAATGGGGTCATGTCTAGTCTGACCCTTATTAGTAAGTCAAAAAATAGAAACCATTGCCTTTTGCCATTGGTGTACAGCATGCTGACTATTTGTTAATTGATTCTCTCAAATCTTGTTATTAGTTCTTAAAGGACTTGTGTGTTACAAGTTTAAAACTATTCTATATTATTTTGAACTTTTAATTTGATCTTGTTTCCTTCAAGAAGTAGGGGTTTCTTGGGGTTTCTTGTTTTGTTTTTACATAATGGACAATTTGTTTTAGCTTCTAATAGCTTCTCTGCTAACATGCCTGTTGAATTACCTGACTTGTTCAACAGACTAATTACCTCAAGAAGAGTAGTAGAAAGCTATTAAATAGGTACATGTGGTAGAGATTAGCTTGTGAACACAACAGCTTGTCCATATACCAAATTATTAGCACAAATCTTTTGCAACTGAATGACCTCTTTTAAACAGGTTATTCAAAAACTGACCATATGAAGGGGGGGGAAAGTTTCTGAATACAGGCATAAAGACTTCCCACCAGGGTGGAGAACCTGTGGCCCTCCAGATGTTGTTGGCTGCCACCTCTCATCAGCCTCCACACAACATGGGTAGAGTCCAGAGGGCAGTTAGTTTCCCAGCCTTGCTTTGCACAGCCCTCGGTGCTCAAAGCACACATTATTCCTACTGAGGTGTACCCTGATATTATAAGGAATGATTTTGCAAGACCATGGGACTGAGTAGACCTGTATACCATTGCACTGCTGGTTTCTTAACATTCACATGTAAAAACCATGCACTGCAATTCCAGTTTAATGTCATTTTTCTCTTTAACCAAGCTCATCACAGCTGTGCCTGCAATGCGTAACAAGGTCAGCTTAAGGGTGGTTGGCAAAAACAAGTGAAGGTGCCTAATGCTCAAAATCTCAAGTAGTTCCTCTTTGCCAAAGATGTTCATAAAGAACCAGTAGCCTAAAGTCTGTCAAAATTCCCCACCTAATGTATCATTTCTTTAAAGACACACTTATTTATTCCTTTACAGTGGTACCTTGGGTTAAGAACTTAATTCGTTCTGGAGGTCCGTTCTTAACCTGAAACTGTTCTTACCACTTTAGCTAATGGGGCCTGCCGCCGTACAATTTCTGTTCTCATTCTGAAGCCAAGTTCTTAACCAGAGGTACTATTTCTGAGTTAGCAGAGCCTGTAACTCGAAGTGTCTGTAACCTGAAGGGTCTGTAACACGAGGTACCACTGTAATTGTTATTTCAATTTCTAACCCACCCTTCAACAATTCATGATCCCAGGGCATATGAAAACATTAAAACATCAGATAGGAGTCACAGATTGCTGCACAAAAGCACAGTGCAACAATTCTGGACACAGTAACTGGCAGCAAACAGTACACAATAATAGAACAGTTTAAGTATTCTGGGAAGCCACAGGGTACCAGCACTTTGACATCTCAAAGGCAAAAATAATTTGTTATGATACTTTTCTGCTTGAAACATGGTGTTCCTCTGCAAGCACACAGAACCACTTTCAGCTTAAGGTCCGGATTCAACCTGGCTAACCTTTCAGGGGCCACATTCTGATGGGAGGAAGGCAAGAGGAAGACGGAGGCAGAGGTAACAGTGGGCAGGGACAAAACAACTGTGCATTTCTTAAAACGCGTTTTATATATGCATAAATGTTACAGACATTTTGCATACTGTACATTCTAGTCCTTCTTAATCTTAGTGAGACTTGTACGAAATATATATATGTTGAAATTTTAATTCTGTGACATTGCTCTTATGCCCTAGATCAGACTATTAGGAGTCCTTAGTGAAAAGAAAAATAACTGTGTTTGTTTAAATTAAATTCTCCACCTCAAAATATGACATATCCCAACAATATCGTAGCTAGTTGTCTCTAAGTGAGGGGGGGAGGAGAGCTGTCACAGTAAGTCTTTTAAGATGTTTTAAAAGTCTATAGCAGGAAAACTCAGTGGTGCCAAACATGTGATTTTTGTGTGAGAGGCTTGGGATGGTTGGCATTTTTCTTAAAACCACAGTTCCTGCGCTATGCACATGGGCAAGAAATTCAAGTTTAAATGAAAGCTGCTACACTTGACACTGAAAAGGACAGCTTAGAAACACAAACCTTGAACACGCAAATAGAATGGCAGCAAAATGTGAAGTGCCCCTAAGGCAGCAAGTTTTAAAATCCAGATTTTTAAAGGCAAGCCTTTGGTGGGCTTACCTTGAGGAAAGAAAAAGAAAAACATAGAGTGTGCATGAAGTAATGAAAGGAAGGGAAACTTCTAGAAGGAGAGGGGCAAGAAATCACTCTTCAGACTGCCCAAGTGTGCCTTAATTAATCACATTAAGAAGAACCTGCCTGGCAAGACTGCACACTAAAACACTAAAGAGGAACAGGTAGAAAAATGGCAGCCTCTGACTAAGTTATTTCTTTCCCCTGCCCCAATAATGCAGTACAGTGGTACCTCGGGTTACATACGCTTCAGGTTACATACGCTTCAGGTTACACACTCCACTAACCCAGAAATAGTGCTTCAGGTTAAGAACTTTGCTTCAGGATAAGAACAGAAATCGTGCAGCGGCGGCACGGCAGCAGCAGGAGGCCCCATTAGCTAAAGTGGTGCTTCAGGTTAAGAACAGTTTCAGGTTAAGAACGAACCTCCGGAATGAATTAAGTACTTAACCCGAGGTACCACTGTACAGTGCATGTTATATAATGACTTGATATCACTGTAGCAAGTGTTTCCTTGCCCTCATAGGCCAGTTTTGCAAAGTGGAGTGGGAAAATATGCAGACTAAGGACATCAGGGCACTAAGGTATATTGTGCTACACATTAGACAGTGGGATGGAGGAGGACTCAACACAGAATGGCCCCGATAATCTAGAAGGAAGTTGAAATCTAGTTGGAAAATGATGTGCTCTGTCACGCTAATATATTGCACAGGCTAATCCTGTGGGAAGAGGTCAGTGCAAACACACCGTCTTCAGTCTGAGGAAGTGGGCTTCCAGTAAGAGGCATGGCTAGTCTAATATATTTTATTGATGGCAATTCCCTTTCAAGTTGGAAGCCAAGAATGAATAAATGTCCGTTGGACAAAACGTTCTTTCGAACATTTTTACCTTCTGAAGCATTGACGCAATGCTGCCTGGAGGCCTGTGGAATTCATTAACTGCCAAGATTCCGAAGAAGATCTACATTTAAATAACTGGAAGGTTTCCAATATACTTCTCCATATGCTTTTAAAATGTATGTGCACACACACACAAAAATCAATACTATTTCATTCACTCAACACCACCACTTTGCAAAGCTATTCTAATACCCTGCTGTGCTTTTTCATGCTATTACATATTATCTAATAAACTGTACTTGAAAGGTGTGTGGTATATAATCTCATCTGTATGGACGATTTGGAATAATGGAATATAATTGCTTAGGTGTATTGATGGGGCACATTGGACTGTAGCAATGTTACAATATTTTGAAGATACTAAAGGCACTTTCTACCTACACAAATGGATACAAGTGTACATTTCTAGGATAATATTTTAAAATCTGTTTTGGGGGTTCTAAATGTATAAACCATGACAGGCTCTTTTTTAAAAAAAATAATTCATTCTCGCTCACAGTCTGAATGTATATTTATCTTTTCCTGTGTCGCAACACAAAACCAGGAACTGTTTTTACTCTGAAATTACAGTGTGACCGTACAGTAGTAGATACCCACCCACTTATGTCTCAATTTAGTCTAGAATATTCTTTTATCTCGCCAGCATGCATTGAGCCACAGCAATTTTAAGAAATCCTGTGTCTGCCTTACCATTGATTACTGGAGTATAAACAACAATCCCAACCAAATTAGGATCAGATACAGTTGTGTCCAGAATAAGGCCACCAATACTGAAAAAGAAAGTTCAAGGTTTGAAACACAGTCAGACAGAAGGCTAAAAATAATTCTAATTCTAGGAACACAATGTTATTTTTTTTAAAAAACCTATTCTGGAAACTCTATATTACTCTACTGTCTGCCAGAGGTTTATTATATTTTTGCTCTATGAAATTATAGAAACAGATCTACCAAAAATATTACGGGTTCTTAGCATTCCTGGAAGAGAAACGATTCATTGATTTGTGGGAGAGCTGCATAAAGGATCACTTAAAACATTAACATAATTATAATTTATTGTAAATTCTTCCCCCCAGACCTGAAAATACAACAAAGTTTGGCCCACAAACCAGTTCCAGCATGCAAGTCAGCAGTTATAGACTTGTTGGTATGAAAAACACAAATAATACATTTAAGTTCCACGGATTTAAAATTGACAAGATGAAATGCCTTCCCTTGTGAGGTGTGCCTGTCTCCACCATTATTAACTTTCAGGAATCTGAACACATTTTTGTTTACCTAGGTGTTTGGTCTCTGAAGAAAATTGAGCCAGCAACCACAAAATCATCGGATGCAAGAATGTTTTAAATTGTAACTACTGTATTTTTTCCATGTATACGATGATGCTTTTTGTTAAAAGAAATTAGGCAAAAATTGGGTGTTGTCTTATACACAGATAGCGAATGCAGAGGGGGGATGTGCGATTAACGGCAGCAGCAAGCAGGAGATTGGCAGCGGTGATTGGGCAGGTGATTGGTGGCTGCGGCAAGGCTTGCTGGCGATTGGCTGTGGCTGCGGCAATTGGGCAGGCGATAGGTGGCTGTGGCGAGGCGGGCTGGCGATTGATGGCTGCGGCAGTGAGTGGGTGGGCTGTTGGTGGGTGGGCTGTTGGTGGCGGCAAGCGGGCAGACAATTGGCGGCTGTGGCGAGGTGTGCGATCAGCAGTGGCTGTGACAAGTGATCGGCAGTGGCGGGCAGGTGGGTGAGCAACTAGCGGAAGTGACCTCCCCGACCACCCCAAAAAGCTAAACAACTTAATTTCTTAATTTTGGGTTAAAAAAAATAGGGGGCATCTTATACACAGAAAAATACGGTACTTTTAAATGTTTTTCATGGCAATTATTTTTAGAATGCTTTAGCAGTTTCAGAATGTTGTTTGCTTTCTTTTTGCTTTGAAATTGTGTATTTGTTTGGTGCCCTGGGCTCCTTGGAGAGGAAGGGCAGGCTATAAATTCAATGAATAATAAATAACAAATAATAAATAAATAAATAAATAAATAAATAAATAAATAAATAATAATAATAATAATACAATAAAGTGCAGCTTAATTTTCCCAAAGAAGTCAGTGGGACATTGATGTACTTAACTTCAGTTAAGCTCTGCATATTGTTGGGTCCCTTAAAAAATATATCCTGTACTCAGCTATAATGCAATTTACTTACCTGCTTATGACCATAGCAGTTATAACGGGCTCCCACCCTGAATAGAGGACAGTTCTTGTAGCTGGGTGTTTAGCAGCAATTACAATCCACATAGGAGTCAGAGCCAAGAAAAAGGCACCAGCTAAAGGAGATATATAATAATATTTCTCTGCAATAAATAAAAAAACCCAGCATGTTTATTTGTATTTTTATTACAGTTTTATATATTATTCTTATACCATATTAGAGAAAATAATACCCTACAATACCTGTCGATTGCAAACCTTTTACTCCTCACACCTAAACAAATTTATTGGGAACAATTCCCATTGTTATCAGTTAGGCCTCAACTCCAAGAAAGAAAGCTTAGGGCAGGTTTCCTCAACCTCAGCCCTCCATATGTTTTTGGCCTACAACTCCCATGATCCCTAGCTAGCAGGACCAGTGGTCAGGGATGATGGGAATTGTAGTCTCAAAACATCTGGAGGGCTGAGGTTGAGGAAGCCTGGCTTAGGGTGTCTGTCTCAGGAATCTTATTTTCTGTTTGAATAATTACAATTTGTGCCACAAACAATTTGTTCTACAAATAGGCATTCTAGTCCTTTGTTGAGACCTAAAGATGGCAGCAGTTTGGGATCGTGCTTGATACATGCACCAGTGGCAAACCTAAAGCATTAATAAGTAATGCTTTTATTACAAAATGGTTAACTTTCAAAACCAATCATATTTTAAATACAGGGTTTTTTGTAAATTTAATTTAGAATTAAAAATGCAAGTGAATATGAAATATTCTGGGCGCAATTGTTCATGCAATTGTAATTTAGCTCTAGCAAAGCTAGAACGCAATTAGCTCTAGTAATAACAAGGATAAGTCTCAAAGCATTTCAGTATTAAAGAAGGCCAAGAGAATATCTGGTGTTAAGGACTGCCTGTTTACTTTGCACAAATCCATTCTCATCCGTTCACTGTGACAACTAAATTAATTGTTTCAGTAAGAGGTACTACAGAATTATTTTTGTATTTTTAGAAGTCTTAAAAGCAGTATGTGCTTGGTTCTTTATTTAATCTCCCAACCTTCCATCTGCGCCTCTTCTTTCTAACTATGCAAGAAGATGAGCTCACACATCACGATCGCCCTGTTTATTCCGGTCCAACACCACATGGCCTTTGAACCACAATCAAGCCCGTTTTCATAACTGTACATTATACTATAACAACAGTGCTGTCCTAGTGAATTATTTTACTCAGCTGGGCCTGTTCACAATTTAGCAAGAATAAAATAACAGCAATGAGATACAACACAGGAAAAAAAATCAATGACAAAGTGAAAAATATGTGCACTTGTCAGGTTTCCCTGTTTTGCTCTTATAGAATCAGACTTTCAGCAGTGCTGGCTGATAGTCCCTGGACCTGGTGGGGCAGCCCGTGGCAAAGTAGGTCTTGTAGGCAGGAAGAGAGAGATCAAGGATTATAGCAAGCAAAGATACACACTCCTCACCTCTGCTGCTAGAAACAGATGAGATCTGATGGGAGTGATTATTTGCAAGACTAAGCAGAGGAGATGGGCAGAAACATCTAGGAAAGGTCTTAGTCAGGGCAAAATGTATTAATAATGACCGTGGATTATGGGGGAAAGACTGCAGCACTCATAATCTTGGAGAGTCTACATCCCACTGCGCCCAGCAAAGGAACCTCAAGTGGACTTTAATCAAAGACACATTTAACTTGGTAGTTAATTCCATTGATTCTCAAACTAAAACTTCTGCAGCCATCGCTTCAAAAAGACGTCCAAATTATAGCCCAATAGAGCCCTCTAGTGTTCCAAGGGGATAATCACACAGATTTATACTTTATTAACCAAAAAGAAAAAGAAAAAAAGGATTCTAACATTACCCCAGAATGGAATCAAACATGTTACACAGAACAGAACGTTTTCAGAAAATTATCTTAACATCTTCAGAGCAGCAAGCCCAATGAAAAATGCACTTGCTACCCAAATGCCAGCCATGATAGATGGATGGAAAATATTTGTTGGTTCAAGGCACTGGTACTCAAAACAGAGGCCCACCAGTGACTCACCTGGCGCAATTGAAATGGTCTCATTCCCATTCCAGTGTCAAACAAAATCCACACACACACGGCCTTTTAAATCTGGTTCCTTTTTTGCTCTCTGTGACTTGCCTGTAAGCTGCATTTTATGCTATTGTTATCACACTTTCAGTTGTTTTATTTCTTGTTGTGAATTGCCCAGGGAACGCTGTTCTAGAGTAGCCTATAAATATGGCAAACAAAGCTTCTGACTGTACAGTGGTATCTCCAGTTACGAACTTAATTTGTTCTGGAGGTCCGTTCTTAAGCTGAAACCATTATTAACATGAGGCGTGCTTTCACTAATGGGGGCCTCATGCTGCTGCCGCGCCACCGGCACACGACTTTTGCTCGCAAAGTTCGCAACTAGGGGCATCTACTTCCGGGTTAGTGGAGCTCGTTACCTGAAGCATTCGTAAGGAGAACGGTACATAACCCAAGGTTCCACTGTAGCCTAGTTCCTCAGTTTGAGCAACTCATACTTGGACACAGACTGTACTCCTCTCGTACTCTCTTGCTTACCTGCTTTGGTGCTCTGCCTGCTTCCCCACTGAACTATTTGCCTGTGTGGTACCTCCTTGTCTCCAAACTGCTAACCCTGACAACTGCAAAGAATATTTATTTTTCCAGTTTAGACAAATTCTTAATTGGCATAATAAAGCAAGTGGAGCATTATGGGGAGGTACAAATTAGGATCCAACAGAAAAATAATGTAGCACACTAAATATATTTCGCTGCAGTGCTTACGCTGTCTGTATTTTGGTTTGTATTGCTTACAATCAATTTGCTTTGCTAGGCAGCCGCTCTTCCTAATCTACCATATCTAATGTGCATTTTCTTTTCTCCCGTATCTGCACGCATTAGGCCACGCTTGGGTAATCGGGAATACCCAATGCTAAATACTTTTCCTCTGCATCTTCCAATCAACACCGCAATATCGGACTCCAAAGAGTTGAGAGAGCTCCCAGTTTAAAAGGGTCTGGGCTAAAAGGGAGGGAGAACTGGTGGGGTGGCAAGGGGAGACAAAGGGGTGGGAAGAGGCCTATCATCTAGTTACAAAGAATGGTCAAGTTCCTTCATGTGATTATCTTCAGACACATACTCTGCATGTGGGATGCTGCACAAATATCAATTATGGTAATAAAAACTGCATGTAAAGACTGTCTTACAGTTGTTGTTTCTGCAGATAGTTGTGTGCCCTGTACAATACTATGTATCAAATAATAACCCTTTCTGTTATGTACTGAAGTTCTCACCCTGGGCCAGCAGGGGGATACTATAGATAGTTCAGGTCCACATATGCAAATAAGGGATCGAAAGTGACGTTCAATGATTGGATAGTTACAGAAAGTTGTTACAGTTACGTTATACTGGAGCTCTATATAAGCAGGCTGGCTGAACCCTTCAGTTCAGTTTAGTTCTGGCCTGTGAATAAACAAGAGCTCTTTGGAGAATCGATGTCGTCTGATATGTTCACCCACAACTTAACACTTTCTGTTCCCTTAGTAAGACGAAGCATCGTGTGATAAGGATTAAGCGTAAACTGCAATCTTTAAACTTTAGAACAAAAGCTCTGAGCCCTGATGACAAAGCATCAAGCCAAAGTAACAGGTGAGTTAAGCAGCTGAGTTCAGCTGTAGAGTGAAGAGGTCAAGGCGGACTACTCTGCACGCCTCCTTTGTGAGCTAACGAATTGCAAGCTCCCAACTAAACTAACTCAATAAACAACAACAAATATACAGATAGAAAGCCAGTGGGGGCGTGGGGGATGGATATTCAGCATATTGTTCACATATGCAAATATTTGCCTGTTGGGAGATATTTGCCTTTCAAAAGCACCACAATACTCACCAAGGCAATCATAAAGACCCTGACTTATCCAAGCAAGTATGGCAAGAGTGATAAGGTCTCCAAAGCTCGCTGCAATGGGTGTTGCAACATTGTCAGGATTTATGCCAGTCTTCTTTGACCCAACGATAACTCCAACCATTATTATTCCTAGAGCCAATAGAAGCAGAAAATTTATCAGTCTCATGCTGCAATTGTAAGAGTGGAAAACTTTAAGAAGTGATCAAATAAAAAAAAATTGGGTGTTTTTCCAGCTAGAAATTAAATGGTGTAAATTCCAGAATGCATGTTTGAACAACTGGAGCTGAATTTGTAATTATTATTACTTCACATGCTATTCATTCAAATGTTTCCATCAACAATCCACAACTTAACAAACACATGAGATAATTTTGTAAAGACCAGACAAAAAACATTACTTGACTAACACTCAATAGATTATTATTTTTTTAAATCCACTTATTAAATGCAAGTTAAGCAGTCTCTGGAAAATACCTTAATTTCTATTCTATTTTTGGCTGGCTAGAACACAGGTAGAATGAAACTGACTATTCGTCTAAACGATATGCCTCGTTTACGCTGCAAAACTGTTGTTTATTAGAATTGTTTTTGTATTTAAGTACTTTTTATAACATAATGTTTCTTTTACCCTGTAAAAGCGATGCTATGAAGGCTGTTGCTACACTGCTAGAACACAAGAGGACTGAGTGATCAAGGCGGTATTTGCCTTCAGGAATCCAGCCCAATATCACAGCTGCCACGGCTGCCAAGAAGCCAACCACAGTTGCTTGCACCTAAAGAAGTGAAGATAAAAATGAAAATTGAATTTGCATCACAAGAATTGCCTTTGTATAAACATTCTGCTGTACAAAACATTTACAAATGATGAGGAAATCCAAGCAACTGCCAAGATCACGGTAGAACACCCATGAGAGATGGGCTCTTTGTTCTAAAACCAATTTCCTCAGCATCAGCTTCCAAAATGGGCAAGGACAGAGCTGCCGTGTGTACAGCCAACTGCTTCATTATAGCATTTATTGATTTCTTTTCTTTCTTTTTACTAAGTTTTATAGACAAGAATAATGTTATACCAAATAAGTATACCAAATTTTCCCATGGCATTTGTATACCACAAAAATAGCATAAATATGAAGTGATATCTACAACATATTGTTCATTATTAGTGGTCAGTGTATAAGTTCTTGGTTCATGAATTGGTTTAAACAATTAGGAAGGAAAGAGGGGGGACGAGGGGGGGATGGTATGTGGGGTGGGATCGGGTGGTTGTGCTTCTATTCTTCTACTTAGTGTATGTGTGGGGTTTTGTGTCAGCATTACTTGTATGGGTTTTCTTACTATTCGCTTGTTGTATTTCCTCGGTGGTGAGAGAGGTAGGGGTGGCTTAGGGTGTGGTTGGTTGTCTTTGGTTGGCTGTAGTGAGAATTGTTTTTGTGTGTGTGTGTTTATTGATTTCTATAGCACACGGAAAACTGGAAGAATACTGCAATGCTTCTACATTTCATTTAGCTATTTACTTGTTTATTTATAGCCTGCCTTATTTCCACCACTGGAACTAAGGCTTCAACATGTCCCAGTTGAAGAAGGCTTGAGTTAATTACAACTTTCTCTTTAGCAGACACAAAGCTTAAATGAACTGTTCTATTACAAAATAAAATAAAAATCCATGCTTTGGATTCAAGAAGCCTGAAGAACTTCAGCATGCTACTGAGTTGCTGAATGTAGGTTATGAAAGGGGAATGGGAATTGCAAAGGTAAGTATGATCACGGGGCTAAATTAAAAATAACTGGGGCTCACAGGCATGGAGAAATCTAGGTTGGCATCTATCTGTCTCAAGAGACAGTGGAGTGCGCCTCTGGGGCTGAAGTTAAGGCAATAGAGAATCACAGTGCCTGCTGTGGCTGCGGAGACTTGTAACTCATAACTGCTGCCTCCCACGTTGCTGTTGCAAACCTGGGCAGTGTATATGGAGGTCCTGGGCTGCCGAGACAACAATACTCCCCTCTCGGCTTCACTGATGAGGTCCAAAGGAAAGCAGAGCAATAAGTTTGGCACCAGCTTGGCTGCAGGAGTTGCTGGAAGGAGGTGTACAAGGCACCATCCACCGGTGTTAGGATTTCTCTTCCCCTTGTTTTATAGAGGGATCTGATTTTGATTTGAGTTATTATTACTGCTTTTCTCTTCATAGACACACAAATCAGCTTTAAAATTAAAAATGCGTGCAGTCCAATCGTAACCATATTCCCTCAGAAGTAAAGCTCACTGAGTTCAATTGGGCCTATTTCCTAACAAGTGTGGTTAAATTGCAGTCTAAACCATTAAAATACAGTGGTACCTTGGGTTACATATGCTTCAGGTTACAGATTCCACTAACCCAGAAATAGTGCTTCAGGTTAAGAACTTTGCTTCAGGATGAGAACAGAAATTGTGCTCTGGCGGTGCAACGGCAGCAGGAGGCCCCATTAGCTAAAGTGGTGCTTCAGGTTAAGAACAGTTTCAGGTTAAGAACGGACCTCCGGAACGAATTAAGTACTTAACCCGAGGTACCACTGTATATGGAACAAATAATTCTCTTAGAAAGGCCAACATTTTAAGACCACAGCAAATAAACATATTTTGGACTAGAGCCAGAGAATTCGTTTTTGAACGGCCTGAGACTATATTTTAAGAACAAGTAGGTACTAAAAAAAACTCCCTTAAAAATAAATAATCTCAATGTACTGAGACTGCACTGCAGCCAGTCCAAGGCCCTTCAGGAGACTTCGAACTGAGGTGAGACTTGCTGTAACGATGCTCCACAGCTCTGAGAATAATTACTCAAATCTGACTACAAGTCCTATTTGAATAGTATGCAAACTCTCAAAATCCCATGAACATTAATCTCATGGGAAACAATGCCCGAGTCATCTGACTGCAACAGCTTTGTACGTGTCAGCAAGTTGGAGTTAACACTTTATTAGCAAGAACACCATGTGTCAGGCCTAATGAGCACAACAGCTCATCCCCAATAGGTCTTGCCCCATGGATCAGTTGCTGACACTGAAAGTCCCTGTCTCCCCACAGCCGTCTAAGCACCCTCCTCTCCAGAGGTTTTTTCCCAAGCAATTGGAGACTGTGCTTGCTTGAAGCTAACATCTCCTCCGCCTTTTTCATGCCTCATCTGGTTCTGCGAGACCAGAGGGGAGAGGAGTTTGTCGCAGCAGAAGCGGGAGACATCTGTGACCCCTCACCTGCTGGACTCATCTATGCCTCTTGGCCTCCCCCCCCCCCCGCTTCAGCTTCTGCCTCTGATTCTAGATTCCTCTCTGTCACAGACTCCCCCAGCTCACTAAGCCCTGTTACTTCTTCAGCTTCCAACAGCTCCTCCTCCCAGTCTTCTCCCTTTGACCACTCATTGTCCTCCAACCAGCACTCCCTGGGCTCTGCACCTTCTTCCCTTGGGTTTCCCCAGCTGGTTCCTCCCACCATTCCTCTGCATCCAACCAGTCCATGACATCTTGTATCTATGACAATGTGCTAATCCGCAATGACTTTTTAACGCTTTTATGAATCCTTACCTGTTTTAAGGCCAAATTACCAATTATTAAATTCCACTTCTCAATGGGTGAATCCATTTTTCCAACGTTTACCTGTAAAAAAGCACAAAATGTGTTTTTAGCAAGTGAAAAATATTGCCTTGGTAGTAATTTGAAGAGTTCATCTATCACTTTCTACCACGAACATGTTGTGTGCCATAACATCATTTAATCTCAAAAGTATATGAGTCGTGTGCATGTTTCTTTAAAATGGAAGCAATGATCAGGCTTTAACTGACTGTCAATCCAAAATAGCTAGGGGAGTGGAGAGCTACATACTGTCTGTATACCATATCTTGTCAAAAACTGCTTTGTGTTTAAAGTAGCATTAATAGCATGGCCATTTATGAAACAGATATAAAAACTGGAATCTTTTTTGAACTGTAAAAATATTTATTTATAATTGTAGGTTATAAAATGTTAATAGTACAGTCGTACCTCAGCTCCCAAACACCTTGGAAGTCAACCGTTCAATGGGGCTTACCTTCAGGTAAGTGAGTGTAGAATTGCAGTTTTTTTATTTGTTTGGCTGCAGCTGGTTCATAGGAATTATATGAAAATTATGCTAATTATAAGATTGATGACAAAAGACATAAAGCATGGTTATTCTCCCCCTCGTGACACTGTTCTGACTGTTGTTTGACTGTTCAGAACCTTCCCTTTAAGTCTCTCTCTCTATTCTTATTGTTTGAAATGTTTAAAGGCAGACTTATGCTTAAATGATGCAAGAGTACTTATTTTGCACAATTTTAAAATGATCACATTCTTGCATAGAAGTAAGCAGATGACCCAAAAAATACTTTGATACCTTCCGAACTAAAGAACTGCAGAGTATTTTATTAATTAAATGCACATCAATGCACATTTTGAATAACTAGGCACATAGAGATATGTGAGGATAAGAAAAAGATTGACGCCACCTGACTTCCTCCAACCAACCTGACAAAAGACTGGGTGCAATGCACTATGAAGGGCACAGGACACGGGGTGGTTTGGGTAAATACGGTCAGCACACCAGTCTATTCACTTTTCAACTGTCACTTGCCTATGATAATTGATGGTGGATGCTGATCTCAACAAATGTTGCAGATGTCCCTGTGTAACAAGAAACTGCTAATATCAATACCCCAGCCTTATAATGCTTCATATACTTACAGCTGTTGACAGCCGGGATGCCAAAGTCATTTCCAAATTCCCTTTCAAGCCAAGTAGTGCAGGAACCAAAATGAAAACTTCAGTAATGTTTTTGAACACTTCCCAATGCTATTTGACAAATGGAAAACATAAAATAGATATATGAAAAAAACAACAATAAAATAAATGTTTTTAAAATAGTGACACAAAATTACATTTCTGGGAAAGGGTTTTCTATCTAGATATTACCAAGGGAAGAATATACTTTATATTCATGAATCTCAGTAACTAATAAAGCCAAAATCAGTTCAGTACCTAATATATTTTCCCCGGTATCAGTACTATCAACAGTACAGAAACATTCCAATAATGAGTCATGACATATCATAGCTGAATACATAGAGCTGTTGTTTTCCTTGCCAGTATTATGTAACTAGCATATCAAAAGCCCAAAGACTGTAACTGAGTAGCTAATCTGCTTTGATATCTCAGTGGGACTCGCAAGAAAAAGAGGTATCATGGCCTTTCTCGCTGCCATTAGTTTAGAGGCTCACACTGATACAGAAGAACAGCTCATTCTAGCAGTAACATTGTCTAGCACGCATTTTACAGGCGTCAAAAAGAATATAATGGAGGGCCTTGTGGAAGCCTTGCAGAAATCAATATATACTACATCCATATAACCTTTTTTTCCTACCAAGCTAGTAGCTATCCAAATAAAGGTAAGCATGGCATGGCTTGTTATTGAGAAGATCATGCTAGTTCTTTCTAACGACTGTGTTTAATGACCGTGTTCTTTTCCAAATGCTTCCAAACTAACTCCTTAATTATTTGTCCTCAAAGCTTCCCAGTTCTGAACACCAGCTGACCAGCAATCTGTAATCTGGACCTTCTCCCCACACCCCTTTTATAGATCCAATGTACAGTGGTACCTCAGGTTACATACGCTTCAGGTTACATACGCTTCAGGTTACAGATTCCGCTAACCCAGAAATAGTGCTTCAGGTTAAGAACTTTGCTTCAGGATGAGAACAGAAATCGTGCTCCGGCGGCGCAGCGGCAGCAGGAGGCCCCATTAGCTAAAGTGGTGCTTCAGGTTAAGAACAGTTTCAGGTTAAGAACAGACCTCTGGAACGAATTAAGTACTTAACCCAAGGTACCACTGTATATGTGCTGAGTGTCCCAGCACATCCAGTCCCCTGGCACATCTCAAAAATTATAGCCAAAAACTCAGATTGCATCTTCAAGTTCCTTAGGTGTAATTCATCTTGCCCTAAAGATTAATTCAATAGGACCAGAGTAGTTTAAATAACATACCTTAACTCGATTTCCAACCAGCAAACTGAGGAATTTGAAATATAAATGTGAATATTTTGTAAGATAGTGTTAGGAGTTTGTGGGTGCCAGACCCCTCTAATTAATCCCTGGATTCAGCAAGTGCTCAAATCTGGCCAAGCCAAGCTAGCTTCCTGTGAGGTGTTAACCTGGTTGATGAGCTTTTAAAGGGAACGGGGAACAGGGCCCTCAACAGATAAAAGCCAGAGTTTAGAGTAGAGAGTTTGCTGTGTGGATGTGAGAGAGATGTAAATAATAATAATAATAATAATAATAATAATAATAATAATAATTTATACCCCAGCCACTCTGGGTGGCTTCCAACCAAATATTAAAATACAGTAATACATCAAGCATTAAAAGCTTCCCTAAACTTCTCTGTAAACGAGAAGTAAAGTGGCAAGCTGGAGAGAAAGAACACGATGTGTGATTTCTGTTGAATCTAAGGCTATGTCCATGGCAGGAAGAAGACCCTTTTGGGGTGTTGATGCTGTTAGCCCCTCCATCGCAGACTCAGGTTGTATATGTGTGCAAGTAAACCATATATCCTAAGGGCACCACAGTGTCTGCTGAGTCTCGTTCCCAAAAAGAAACACAAGCCCTTGGAATCTTGCCCTGCATGGAGACTGGAGTGGCGTCCAGTTGATATTAAAGATCCTGCAAATATAATGGCGCTTGTGGTGTCCCTTTACACAATTTGCCTGGCTTTGAAAATTCTGCCTTTGTGCCAAATGACCTTATTTCCTCCCTACAAACTCTAAAGCAGCGAAAATTGATTTTAGAGGTGGGGGGGCGGGCGGGGAATAAAGCTTCACTCATTGAAGTGGGTAGACTAAGAAAAGGAAACTAGAAAAATGGCGGGACTAATATCTTGTTCAACATGTGCTGAACATAAGTTTATTACAAGGACAAATAACCTCCTGAAACTCATATGGACCTAAGTAACATTTGAGAACTCAAATCACAAACAAAATCCTCAGCTCCCTCTTGACTACAGAAGAACCCACTCAGAAGTTGTGTGTGTGTGTAAGTAGCCTTACATAACGAACAAACAACATTACAATAAAACAAAAACACATACTTCAGCCTTAATATAGAGGACCATACTAAATGTCATGATTGAGTGCATCAGAAAAAAATCAGAATGTGTACATTTAAAGCCATACTTAGGAAATACCAACCTGGACAATGTCCAGAACCATCCCAGCAGATACTGTTCCAAAGCCTGCTAGCAAAAATGGTACAAGTATCTGTAATGCCATAATGCTACTAGATTCCTTTGGCTGTTTTTTGCTGCCTTCCACAATGGTATCTTCTTCACCGTCACTAGATACGTTGTTGTCCTGCAGCATAATATCTGTTTCCGACATGTCCATTCTGTCTGAATAATTATATCCCGCGAAGTTATCATACTTTGGGCTACAGCTCGATGAATTATGTCCATTGCCACCATTATGAAAAGTTGATTCTGAGAAATGATGATAATCCATGTGCTGGTCAGTCCTAACACTGAAACCATGCCCTGATGGCTGTAATCCATCTTGCCAGAGACCATTCACTTTCTTATGTCTTTCTTCCTGGTTTTTGTGATAAACAATTGGAACCATACTTAACAGCAGGTTCAAGAACTTGTCAGACTGAATTGTATTTAGATTTATAGTCCAATTTACAAAACTTTCTCCATGATAGGCTTTATCATTTGTTTTCTTGCTGACAGATCTTCCTTTACAGTTAGTCATGCTGTTTCAAAAATATTGTTCTGATGATTGCTTCAGATCCCAGAGAAGTTTAAATGATGCATCAACAAATGGTTATATAGAGATCTTTGATTTGATACAGCCGATCACGTTGTGAAGTTGTCTGTTATGTAGAAAGATTTCTTTTCACTAACTTTTGGTCTTGAGCAATTCCGCAACAAAGCTGGGATCTAAAAAGAACACAGTAAAAATGTTAACACATCTGCCTTTTTTGGCCTCTAAAACTTGATAGCATTTTTGTTCCATTTAAATTTTGTTTATAGATGAATAGTGCAAGTGTATCCTGCTATCAAATTCCCTGCACAGGCATCTACTCCAAGGAAGTTACTACGTTATAGCAATGCTATTATACTGTTTTTTGTCTTTTTAAAATGTATTTTTATTAAAGATTTTCTGTTGTAATCTTAAATCACTCTCAGTCATATGGTGACACAAACCCAGCAGCAAAATGGGTGGATTCAGGGGGTGGAATGGGAAAAACCCCAGCTTGGTTCATATATTTTCCTTCTGCAAGATAAAATTCTCATTCTCCTGCATTTTTCTCCCCTTCCCTGAAGCACAACATCAATATTTGTCTCTGACAAAGGGTTTGTCCACAAATGCTTGAGTTTGACCAGGCATAGGCAAACTCGGCCCTCCAGATGCTATGGGACTGCAACTCCCATCATCTCTAGCTAACAGGACCAGTGGTCAGGGATGGTGGGAGTTGTAGTCCCAAAACATCTGGAGGGCCGAGTTTGCCTATGCCTGAGTTTGACTTTGAATCTCTGGCTGTAGAAGTCCTTATGTCCCTCACTCTAAGTATTTGCTTCCTCCCTAACCTGGTGAGACACTTTAAATGCTTTCTGGTAGTTATGCTTGTACCTTCTGTGTGGAAGAAATTATGGAATTGTTGAAATGACTTTCTCATAGTGCTCCTGCTACCACTGCTTGCTTTCTGAGGCCTTCTAAGCATTGGTAAACACGGGGGCATCGTTAGAAGTGATGTGGTGATAAGTTACATGGTGATGATGTTGCCAGATACTCTGTGGAAGTGAACTTTTTCACTACTTTGATAGAGATTTCTTTTCTATTTCTATTACCGTGCTTTTGATGTTCTGTTGAGAAGCACAGGATGCCAATTAGCTACGCAAGTACGGTATAAGCTCTGGTGTAATGGTGGTCATGTTAAACTGGAGCATAAGATCATTCTGCCTAAAACACAACAACAAGGAAATGATGATGATATAGCATACCGTAATCTGAGCGAGAGCCACAGCATTAGTACAGTACTAAGATACCGGAGTCGGTCAAATCTTCTAAAATGCCAGTTGACACCACAATTGCATATTATTGTCTGAGTCTTTGAAATTATTCATCATTCTGGAATTTAGTCAGAGTTTCTGGGAGTAACCGTTTCTATTTTTCGTAAATATTAGTTTCTTGTAATGTGTATTTTTTGGGGGGGGAAATTGAATTAATATCCTCAATTACTACTCCATAAATGTTAGAAGTTAGAATTACTCTCCTCAACAAATGTTAGAAGTTAGAAGTACTCTCCTCAACATCTACTTAGCTCTCCTTTCGTTTTGTTTTTTAAAGTATTTTTGGCAAATAATAGAAGTCATGAAAACTTGCAGAACCACTTTAGAAGCCTGTTCATTGGAATGTTCTGCAAATGCAACAATCTATTTTGCCTCTTTAAAACCTCCAACCTAGTAAATAAATACATGGACCTGTAGTTAAAATATATTTTAAACAGAAATTTTAGCAGTTGGAGTAAGCAATACCAAAGAAATGTGATAATGGAGTCTGATGGCATTATAAAACTGCTCCATGCTAAAAAAAAATGTGCATAGCGTAGTTCAAATGATTTCACACCTACAATGTCTCTTGGCTTATACAGTATATGACTGATAGGTCTTTACTCTTCCTAACTGCCTAACTGGATTATCAATAATCACATTGTCTTCATTAAATATTACTCATAGCTTAGGACACTTAAAGTATTTTGCTTACTCAGAACCTAACAGGCTGCTTTCATACTTGCAAAGATCAGCAAATAGGTACTTAGGATGATGAGGCATAATGGTGTCTGCGTTGATACAGTGTTAGAAGGGTCCTACGGGAAAACCCATTATGCCAGTTTTTACGAAAGGTGTAATGTTTAAGAATGGTAGCTATGTCTACAATGCAGATGATCTTGTTTCACTTTGCTGTATTCCTTGTTCTTTGTTGCCTGCAATATATTTTCCTTCTATTTGCAAAAGTAAAAATAAAATGCCAAAATACAATATATTTTCCTTCAGTTGTTTACACTTTCCCAGCTCCCAAACACGATTCATTGTCCGAACAGCTCATTGCACAACACCTGTGTGTAGAATCAACACATGATGGGGTGGGGGTTGTGCCTTCTGGCTCTACCCATGACCTCTGTACATTGATCTGAGCTTTGCACAACCTGCATTCTTGTATTACAACTTTTCAGAGATGAATTTTGAAATGAAAGTTGGAAATGTTATTGTACTAGGAGCAGCAAAGGAGGGAGGAAAATAGAGGGAACATCTGGGGGAGTGAGAAGTCAGCTTTTAAATTTGTATTCATTTGTATTAATTTGGTGACAAGTTTGTTAAAAATTATGGAAAATCAATAAAAAATAAATGACAACTTTTCAGAGAAACCTAGATAGATTTGCTTAATTGCTTTTGCTCAATGGGTGAAATTCTTCTTCCACGAGAGACAAAGGCTCAATTCAAATTACACCAAATCATAGTTTAGAACATGGGTCGGCAAACTAAGGCCCGTGGGCCGGATCCAGCCCAATCGCCTTCTAAATCCAGCCCGTGGACGGTCCGGGAATCAGTGTGTTCTTACCTGAGTAGAATGTCTCCTTTTATTTAAAATGCATCTCTGGGTTATTTGTGGGGCATAGGAATTTGTTCATTTCCCCCAAAAAAATATAGTCTGGCCCCCCACAAGGTCTGAGGGATAGTGGACCGGCCCCCTGCTGACAAAGTTTGCTGGCCCCTGGTTTAGAACTTCCAAGTGGACAATCTATTTTCATTTCCTCTCTGCTGAGCTATCTCCCCCGCCCCCCAGCCATCTTCTTATTTGCAAATAACATCAATCTCTTGAGTGTAGAGCAGCAGGTGGAACTATGGTTTGCAAATTCAGACAGCACACCAAACCAAAGTTGGCATAACTAAAATCAGGCCTTTGGCTGATTAACACTCTATGGCCTTTTAAATGTGCTTGTGCAATGGGGGTTACTGGTTTGTTTTTGGTTTTCCGTGATGTATTTTGTGTTCTCATTTTGTATTTTTATGTTGTGAACTGCCCTGTGATCTTTGCATGAAGGGCAGTATACACATTTAATAATGATTAACAGATTTTGCCTAATGTCTGAATTCAGTCAGTTACTAAAAATCCTGTATCCATACTCCTAACTTGTATTGACTTCAAAGGGACTTGAGAAGCATAACTGTGTGGGAAGTTCAGTCAGAGGGTGTCCGCAGTAAATCATCATCAATGGAATAGCATTAACTATCATAACATTAGCGAAGGAGATCAGACCAAAGGTCTATCTGGTAGCATTCTGTTCTCACAAAGCCCATCCAGATACGTACAGGAAGTCCACAAGCAAGAAGTCCACAATGTGCTCCTGCTCTATACTAACTAGACATAGAGTATCCGCCTTGCTTGTATGCATGCATAAAGTCCCATGTTCAATCCTGGGCATCTCCAGCTGGGGCTGGGACTCTTGCCCCAAGTACTGTACAGTTGCGACCAGTCAATGTAGATGATATGGGGCTAGATGGACCAATGGTTTGACTCAGTGTAGGGCAGCTTCCTATAATAGAGGCTCTCATCACCTTGCCAACAAAGGTCCATATAGTTAAAGCTATGGTTTTCCCAGTAGTGATGTATGGAAGTGAGAGCTGGACCATAAAGAAGGCTGATCGACAAAGAATTGATGCTTTTGAATTATGGTGCTGGAGGAGACTCTTAAGAGTCCCATGGACTGCAAGAAGATCAGACCTATCCATTCTTAAGGAAATCAGCCCTGAGTGCTCACTGGAAGGACAGATCGTGAAGCTGAGGCTCCAATACTTTGGCCACCTCGTGAGAAGAGAAGACTCCCTGGAAAAGACCCTGATGTTGGGAAAGATGGAGGGCACCAGGAGAAGGGGATGCCAGAGGACGAGATGGCTGGACAGTGTTCTCGAAGCTACAAACATGAGTTTGACCAAACTGCGGGAGGCAGTGGAAGACAGGAGTGCCTGGCGTGCTCTGGTCCATGGGGTCACGAAGAGTCGGACATGACTAAACAACAACAACAACAAGTCCATTGATAATTTGGAATGCCCCATTCCGCACATTTACAAGCTCTGCAATTTCCTTTAGAGGTACTATAGGTTGTTGTTCTCCTCCCCCCCCCCAATTGTTTTGAAACAAAAATGAACTATGTCAACCCTGACCGAGTACAAGTCTGCACGTTTCCAATGTTAGTCCAAATGATATGACCTCAGATTGAGCTCAAAAATCTGAACACTGCTTGAGATGCATATGTAGATAGGAATCAAGCAGACCTTCTTGTCTGTATATACTTGTGGAAATTATGTGGAAATGAAACCGTGACATCTTGTTAGTAGAGAACTCATTCTCCAGGTGCCTATCATTATACAAGTCAAAACAGTACTATCATCTCATAAGAGGGAAGTTGTCAGCAGGCTTGGGGAACCACAATGCTTGCAGAAGTATAAATATCACTTTGCGGGGGGGGGGGGGCAAAGCAGGGAGATGGGGAGGCCCCAAAGTGGTTAATGATAAGTGAGTATACTCGGCCGACATGTAATGATAGCTGAGTGTTGAAAAAAAGAAAATGGAAACTGGGGAGGAATGCAAGAGGGAATGCCTGTCTGCCTGGAATCTTGAATAGGAGCATGCCACACACACTGCAACCTTTTGTTGCAGGTACAAAGTTACTGATAAAAGGTAGATATGACAAATTGGCATAGCACAAGTAATTAATGCACGCTTGTAGTTTGCTCTTACTGTCTGATATCTCATAGTACATAAGTCACCTGTCACAACCAGAAGCCACCAAAAGCAAGGAACTCATGTGTGCCAGTTTGAAATACTGTCTTAAACAGGTTATCATCCTATTCATAATGAATGTTTGCCTTTACAGCAAAGCAGGGACCAAATGTATCAGTATATAGTAAAAATTACTTGTCCAAAATAATGAAAAGTAAACGTATTTTCAGATTTAGATAAACCAGGAAAAATATCTAAAGTTTTGTTTTATTTTCAGTTTTTATTCATATTAACCTTACTCAAGTTCAACAATGAATGTTGTAGTGACGATGAATACAGTAGCATCCTGGTTTTGTAAGTTTGATTATCTGCCAAATAATAGACACGCAGGGTAGAGCAAACATAGTTACAGGGCTAGCTTAACCACTATCTACAGAACTGAAAACTCAGTTAAATCATGCTTTGTTAAGATTTAAGCATTTGTGAGCCCCTTCTGCTCAAAATAAATCGTGAACTTAGCAAGATTCCTAAGCATGCTGCTTAGCTTTGACAAAAAAAGCACTATTCCCAACTGCACGAAAATACAACATATTCTAAGGAACTTAACCATTCACAGTGTATGAGTTTCAAGGGTGCAGCAATTAAGGCGGAAGAGCAGCAGGTATATCCCCAAGCTGCCATTCTGTGTACCTGCCTTTGACCCATCATGAAAGTAAGTATTTGTATGTATGAGAGATAATCAGGGGGCACTTAGTATAAGATTTGGCATAAACCTATGTGAGATTTAGGCTGCAATCCTAGGAGTAAACTGCACTGAATTCAATAGGCTTACCTCTGAGTAGACACGTATAGGAATGCACTGTTAGTCAATCCTCCATTAGCTGTCTCTGTTGTGGCTGACATCCCTAAGATGACATGGAGGAGAGCTATCCACTATCTTGCTTCCTTTCCACCTAATTCTGTTGCCCTCACTGATGTGTATACACAACATAGCTCAGGATCTTGGGGCATTACTATTGCACTTCTGGGACTGTCATTACTCACACAGTGCACAATAAAAATGACTGTTTGACAACTTGCTTTTCTGTGTTTGTCTTTTATGGCTGCAAGCTCTCTTGGGAACAATTTATGTGGGTGCTTAATTTAAACAGAAGCTCTTCAAAAATAAGCTCAGCTTGAAAGCTCCCCTGTTTTTCTCTGCCACCCATTATCTAATGATTAACAAAAAACAGCATACCAAAGCTGCTGAATGAGGTGAATTGTTTTTTCAAATTCCTATGTATATGGAGGAATTGGTTAGTTTGGTGTCAAATTAAGGTGAAATTTACCTGGCTAAAAAATTATAGGCATCTGCCTTCCAATCTATTTGAGGCTGATATCCTGGATTCACATTTACTGACACATCAAACAGGTCCACACACACAAGGTGTACTACGAAGTTAGCTTGGCACAGATCTGGGGCACCAAGTAATAACTGCAAACAAATATTGATGGGAGATTGTCGTAGTATTTATTTTGGCTGTTTTTAATGCTTACTCCATATGGCATTGTTTACTCTATGGAACTCTTGGATATCTACTGTTTTATACTAACAACAGCCAACTATTTCTTCTCTGATTCTCATTTATTTTTCAAAGCATTGGTGTCTCTATAAATAGTCATGTTGTTGTTTGTTTAAATTCTATTTAAATATATAGGTTGAACTTTCTAGACAGTCCGGGATTGCAAGTAATACTTTCTGAATGACCCTAATTTTCACTTTGCATCCTTGAACTCTGCCTTCTGCAGCAACTTCTGGGTGAAATTACAAAGGCAGGTCCTACATTTATAGTTATGCACAGCCATCCACTTTGCCTTAACGTCATTAGCATTCACAAACTGAAGCGGTACAACTGAACTGCAAATGACAGCAAAACCAAACACGAAACTAGAAAGGAGAAACGCCCAGCGCCTTGGTAACACCAGCAGATGCAATAATCTTAACATTTAGGTGGTGACCTATTTTTGTAGCACCCGGGGGGGGGCACTTAGGAGACTTTGCCTTTTCTGCTCAGCTTATTCCACCCCAAACCCTGGGGCTGGAAACAGAAATAAAACCAGAGGACGCAATAGTATTAAAAATTTCTCAAGAGAGTGTAAAGGGGCGGAGGGGAGGGAGCTAGAGGGATGCTCGGGATGAGGAAATGCTATTCCAGTTTAGCCATAATGATTTAACAAGGTGGGGGAGAGAAAGTCAGGTTGGTGAGGAAGGAGCAGCCAGCCTGTCAGCCGGGCCCGGGGCTGCCTCGGAGGCAGATGCCGTTCTTCGTTCACTTCCCCGCGGGGATTCCCTTCCCTCCATCTCCGGGGGTGGAGGAAGCGGTGGCGGCGCCTTTCCCGCTCTTCCTCCGCATCTCCTTCCCCACCCTCGGGCCACCCGCTCTCCTACCTGGGCAATGGCGAACCAGGGAGGGGAGCCAGCCACCCGCGGCAGCAGCAGCAGCCGCCTCCTCCGCCGCTCGCCTCCATCCTCGCCGCCGCCCGCTCCTCGCGCACAGGAAGGAACTTGCCCGCGGCCGCCGAGGAGGCAGAAGCAGCTCCTCCGGGCAGAAGAAGCGGCGCCGCCTCCGCCGCCCCACTGAGCACGCGCGGCAGAGGCCGGGGGAGAGCGGGGAGGGGGGCGGGCGCGCAGGCAGGCGGGCGCTGATGTGGCCGGGCGTCGCCGGCGCTCGGAAACCTCCTCAGCGCCTCCACGGCAGGGGCCGCGGGAGCTCCAGGGAACCCCGCTCCGCGCAGGCCGGAGCAGCCCGCCTCGGAGCGCCAGGAAGCGCCGAGGGGCCCGGAATGGTCGCTTGCGGCTTGCACGGGGAGGGCCCCCCACCCTGGAAAGACACGGGTTCCTTAGTTCACACGTTCCTGGCACGCGACGCGCGCCTTGGAGGAGAAGGAGCCGCCTCATATTATATAACTAGTTGGAGGGAAGAGTGCACGGGTCGGTGGGTGGGATTGCAAGCAGGCAGCATCTCTGAAAGCAGGGCTGGGGGCAGCCGGACGCCCTCCTCCAGCATGGCCAGTGGTCAGGGAGGATTGGGGGTGTAGTTAGGCAAGTTCCCCTCAGACAAAAAATGGCACACGTGTCTATACAGTGGCGGACCTTGATGTCTCAAATTTCAGCGGCGCCCCTCTGCAAAGCTAAAATCCAGCACACACACACCTACACACCCTACCCCTCCACCTCTCGCCTTCCGTTGGATGTCACAGTTGTGGCGCCCCAGAAGCTCCATACCTTAATTCATTGAGGATTAATGCGTGATGGCTAATAGTCATGATGGCTTTATATTTGCTCTGGTATCCGAAGCGTTGACTCTCTGAATACCAGTTACTGAGGAGCATGAGAGTGGAAGTGCTGCTGTGCTCATGGCTACATTTTCCCCATTTTCAATCATACTCTGAAAAGGAGAGTACTGTACTGGTTATGAGAAAATCTGGATTGAGGGAGGGGAAGGCAGTGATTTGGAGGAGAACCGTCATATCGGCAGTGGAAAATTAAAGGTGGTTACAGGAAGCCTACTATCCACATTAAAGGACAGTATGAATGGGCCCTTAGATGAAAAGAAGGCAGTAAGCCTTATATATCTCTTAATCACTGGGAAATCATTGGGAAATTTTCACTGCACTCCTGCCAGACGTATGTTTCCTAAACCACTGAGCCTCTTGGGCTTACCAATCAGAAGGTCGGCGGTTCGAATCGCAGTGATGGGGTGAGCTCGCATTGTTATGTCCCAGCTCCTGCCAACCTAGCAGTTCGAAAGCATGCCAGCGCAAGTAGATAAATAGGTACCGCTGCGGCAAGAAGGTAAACAGCTTTTGTCACTGGTGTCCCATTGCACCAGAAGCGGTTTAGTCATGCTGGCCACATGACCTGGAAAGCTGTCTTTGGACAAACACCGGCTCTCTCAGCCTGAAAGCGAGATGAGCACCGCAACCCCATAGTCGCCTTTGACTGGACTTAACCGTCCAGGGGTCCTTTACCTTTCTTTTTTACCTTTTTCAATTTTCAACTCAAAGAAGAAAGCAAACAACCCGAAATAGAATCATAGAATCATAGAATCATAGAGTTGGAAGAGACCACAAGGGCCATCGAGTCCAACCCCCTGCCAAGCAGGAAACACCATCAGAGCACTCCTGACATATGGTTGTCAAGCCTCTGCTTAAAGACCTCCAAAGAAGGAGACTCCACCACACTCCTTGGCAGCAAATTCCACTGTCGAACAGCTCTTACTGTCAGGAAGTTCTTCCTAATGTTTAGGTGGAATCTTCTTTCTTGTAGTTTGGATCCATTGCTCCGTGTCCGCTTCTCTGGAGCAGCAGAAAACAGCCTTTCTCCCTCCTCTATGTGACATCCTTTTATATATTTGAACATGGCTATCATATCACCCCTTAACCTCCTCTTCTCCAGGCTAAACATGCCCAGCTCCCTTAGCCGTTCCTCATAAGGCATCATTTCCAGGCCTTTGACCATTTTGGTTGCCCTCCTCTGGACACGTTCCAGTTTGTCAGTGTCCTTCTTGAACTGTGGTGCCCAGAACTGGACACAGTACTCCAGGTGAGGTCTGACCAGAGCAGAATACAGTGGCACTATTACTTCCCTTGATCTAGATGCTATACTCCTATTGATGAGGCCCAGAATTGCATTGGCTCTTTTAGCTGCCGCGTCACACTGTTGGCTCATGTCAAGTTTGTGGTCAACCAAGACTCCTAGATCCTTTTCACATGTACTGCTCTCAAGCCAGGTGTCACCCATCTTGTATTTGTGCCTCTCATTTTTTTTTGCCCAAGTGCAATACTTTACATTTCTCCCTGTTAAAATTCATCTTGTTTGTTTTGGCCCAGTTCTCTAATCTGTCAAGGTCGTTTTGAAGTGTGATCCTGTCCTCTGGGGTGTTAGCCACCCCTCCCAGTTTGGTGTCATCTGCAAATTTGATCAGGATGCCCTTGAGTCCATCATCCAAGTCGTTGATAAAGATGTTGAATAAGACCGGGCCCAAGACAGAACCCTGTGGCACCCCACTAGTCACTCTTCTCCAGGATGAAGAGGAACCATTGATGAGCACCCTTTGGGTTCGGTCAGTCAGCCAGTTACAAATCCACTGAGTGGTAGCATAGTCAAGACCGCATTTTACCAGCTTCTTTACAAGAATATCATGGGGCACCTTGTCAAATGCCTTGCTGAAATCAAGGTAGACTACATCCACTGCGTTCCCTTCATCTACCAGGCTTGTAATTCTGTCAAAAAACGAGATCAGGTTAGTCTGACATGACTTATTTTTCAGAAATCCATGCTGACTATTGGTGATCACAGCATTCCTTTCTAGGTGCTCACAGACTGTTTGCTTAATGATCTGCTCCAGAATCTTCCCTGGTATTGATGTCAGACTGACTGGGCGGTAATTATTTGGGTCCTCTCTTTTCCCCTTTTTGAAAATAGGGACAACATTTGCCCTCCTCCAGTCTGCCGGGACTTCACCTGTTCTCCAGGAATTCTCAAAGATGACTGCCAGTGGTTCTGAAATCACATCTGCCAGTTCTTTTAATACTCTTGGATGCAGTTCATCTGGCCCTGGAGACTTGAATACATCTAGACTAGCCAAGTATTCTTGTACTATCTCCTTAGTTATTCTGGGCTGTGTTTCCTCTGCTGAATCATTTGCTCCAAATTCTTCAGGTCGGGCATTGTTTTCTTTATCGGAGAAGACTGAGGCAAAGAAGGCATTGAGGAGTTCAGCCCTTTCTGTGTCCCCTGTTTGCATTTCACCATCTTCTCCTCTGAGTGACCCCACGGTTTCTTTGTTCTTCCTTTTGCTACGAACATACCCATAAAAGCCTTTTTTGTTGCTTTTAACCTCTCTAGCAAGCCTGAGTTCATTTTGTGCTTTAGCTTTTCTGACTTTGTGTCTACACGTGCTGGCTATTTGTTTGAATTCCTCTTTGGTGGTTTCCCCCCTTTTCCATTTTTTGTACACATCCTTTTTTAATCTTAACTCAGTTAAAAGTTCTTTAGATAGCCACCCTGGCTTCTTTAGGCACCTTCCATGTTTCCGTCTCATTGGTATTGCCTGAAGTTGTGCTTTTACTATCTCCCTCTTAACAAACTCCCAGCCATCTTGAACTCCCTTTCCTTTTAGTATTACTGTCCATGGGATCTCACCCAGCACTTCCCTAAGCTTTATGAAGTCGGCTTTCTTAAAGTCGAGAAATTGAGTCCTAGTATGCTTGGCTGCTCCTTTCCGCTGTATAGTAAACTTCAGAAGAGCATGATCACTCGCGCCTAATGATCCTTCCACTTCTACCCCACTAACCAGGTCATCAACATTGGTTAGGACCAGATCTAAAATGGCTGTTCCTCTTGTTGCTTCTCCCACTTTCTGGACAATGAAGTTGTCTGCAAGGGCAGTGAGGAATCTGTTTGACCTTATGCTCTTGGCTGAGTTTGACATCCAACAAATATCCGGGTAATTGAAGTCCCCCATTACTACTATCTCCCTTCCTTTTGCATGCTTGGCCATCTGTTCCAGGAAGGCATCATCTATGTCCTCCGTTTGGCTTGGGGATCTATAGTAAACTCCCACAATGAGGTCACTGTTATTCTTCTCTCCCTTAATTTTCACCCAAATGCTCTCACTTTGGCTTTGAGGTTCTAAATCTTGGATCTCTTCACAGGTATACACATCCCTGACATATAACGCCACTCCTCCTCCTTTCTTGTCTGGTCTGTTTCTTTGAAATAGATTGTATCCCTCCATTATTACATTACAATCGTGGGATTTATCCCACCAGGTTTCAGTGATTCCTATTATGTCATATTTAGTTTGCTGTACCAGGAGCTCAAGCTCATCTTGTTTATTTCCCATGCTTTGCGCATTAGTGTACAGACATTGAAGTCCATTAATCATTCCCCCGTGTCTCTTATTTAAGGATTTTCTCCTCCCACCACTAGGTCTGCATGCTCTTTGCTCCATTCGGTCTATGACATTTGGATGATCATCTTCATCAATTGATAGACTCCTACCTTCAGGAGCACTGTCTCCCTCCCCCACATTAGTCAGTTTAAAGCCCTCCTGATGAGGTTTCTGAGATTTTTTGCAAAAACATTCCTCCCAACCGTTGTGAGGTGCAGCCCATCGCTTGCCAGAAGTCCATCTTCAAGAAACTGCATTCCGTGATCTAAGAATCCAAACCGTTCCTGTTTGCACCATTTGCGAAGCCAGTTGTTCACTTCCACTATTTTTCCCTCTCTCCCTGGGCCACGTCGTTGAACTGGGAGGACAGATGAGATGACAATTTGTGCATTTAATTGCTTCAATTTCCTGCCCAGAGCCTCGTAATCTCTTTTGATCTTCTGGAGGCTATTGCTTGCAGTGTCATTGGTTCCCACATGAACCAAGAGGAAGGGGTATTTGTCAGTGGGTTTTATGATTCCTTGCAGTCGTTCAGTTACATCTTGGATCTTAGCCCCGGGGAGACAGCACACTTCCCGAGACATCTTGTCAGGCCCACAGATCACTGCTTCTGTTCCCCTCAGTAGGGAATCCCCTATCACCACTACACGCCTCCTCTTAGGTCTGGTCGGGGTTCTTCTGTGAGCTGTCGG